AATGCTGTCTCTATATTCGAAGAGACACTTTCGAACTCAGAATCACCAATAATAATATTATTTTCCACTATAAAATTGAATTTATGGCACAAAAATGGACTCCAATATTGAAGCTGCCAAAGTCAAAATTCTAAAAACCAACAAGCAGGTTCTCGACTAGTACGGGCACCTGCTAAATTTCAAATTTTAATTTGAAAAGTTTTTGCTATTTCAAGGCAAATCAAATCTATTTGAACCATTGTAGATTAAATTTTGAATGATACACGTTCGATATAAACTTTATTAATGAAACTTGTGTAACTAAACCACTCGGCTGACGCCTCGTGGTTTAACGTTACACGCGTTTCATTATGGCGTTCATATCGAACTTGTATCATTAATAACTATTATGTACGACCTAATACACAGTAAGAGCTTATTACGTAACTCATTTTTATTGGAAAACGGCACTTTTTAAAATTCATTTATCAAAAATTATAAATATAATCTTTTGTGAAAAATTGAAATTATTTCGATTACATGAAAAAAATCTGGGTCGTACATGAAATGTTGTAGGTATATCACACATACGGTAAGCATCAAAACATTCTGCCACCCAATCTAGCCATAGCCCGGAAACCTGACCAATCAAATTCGATGTGGTTATTTTGGATGGCATAATGTTACTACATGCGCTGCATCAGGGGTCAGAATGTCGGGACGATGATGGAGCTATTTGAAGGGTCAGAATGTTATTGAATGGGCTGGATTCAGGGTCAGAATGTTACAGGCGATAAAGCATTAGTATTAAATTTAACAAACAATGTTTGATGTTAAAAAATATATAACTGTCTTTTGTACGTGTTATACAATTTAGAAATTTAGATTCTATTTGTGTTTCTTATGGATTTTTTTCATGAATATATTGATTAAACTGTTCGTTTTTTGATTAAAACGGAGAAATTAAAAAATATATGTATTTTGGATAAAAGGGGTTAATAAATTTAGATTTAGATTTATTATATATTGGCCAGAAATGCATCTGCTTCGTTTAAGCTGGGACACCCTGTCCATATAGGTATGTATGTATTTAAAATTTCATAAATCTCAAATGCGAATTATGAAGATATAAACGTTTTTTAAGTCATCATAATTCGCATTTTTTGCACCCTATAAGTATGATGTATGTACAGGGTGTCCCAAGAGTAATGGTAAATATTTTATTGACAGTCGATTCAATAGCTTTGTTTGTTTATTTGCATCAAAGGCAAAGTAACACTAAGCTGCACCAGGTGATGACCAGGTGTAGAATGAGTAGCAAAACCTTCAAATTCAAATCAAAATTCAAAAGCAAAAGGATAGACTGACAGACATGTAATTGCGAAATTTACCAAAAAGCAACAAACTTGAATAAAACCAAGAGAATAATTTTGCCTACATAATTTTTTCTTGAGTGGTATTCGGCTGAACTATTTCACGAGAAAAACAAGGCAAATTTTCATGTTGGTTTTGCCCAGGTAGGATCAGGTAGAAGTTTTGCCAGTAGGAAACCGGCCGTTCCTATGACATTTTGCCAGTGAAAAATACTCTAGTGAAATAGTCATATATAATACCCCAAGAGAAAACATTTTGTTGGCAAAATTTTCGACTGGTATGAAAGTTTGTTGCTTGGCGATTTCGCCAATGACATTTTTGACGAAATCAAATCACGAGCCGTCAGGCGAGTGGTTTTGTTTCATTTCATTTCATGAGCGAAATTACCAAAAAGCAACAAACTTGAATAAAACCAAGAGAATAATTTTGCATAAATAATTTTTTCTTGAGTAGTATTCGGCTGGACAAGCCAAATTTTCATTTGGAAAATTTGTTTTCTTTAGGTCTTGTCAAACTCAATAGTTTTTTATATTAACCACACAAAATTTAGTCGCTGAAAAACCATCATGTTGGTTTTGTCCAGGTAGGAACAGGTAGGAGTTTTGTCAGTAGGAAACCGGCCGTTCCTATGACATTTTGCCAATGTAAAACACTCTAGTGAAATAGTCTATATAAAATCGGCAGTCAAAATATTTACCATTACTTATGGGATATGTATACAGTGATCACGTAAAGGTTGGAATAAACTCTATAAAATATACAGGGTGGATATTTTTCAAAAAACCTCGGACATTTCAATCTTTGATTTTAGTGGCCGTTTTTTTGATGAAAATACCATGTATACAGGGTGACTCAAAAACAAGTTATGACAGCTAACTTTATTTGTTTTAATGGAAACACCAGTTTTTTATTCCATTTTCAAATTCTACGTATTAGTGCAATTTACCCTCCCAGCCAAACTTCTGAAAGTCATAAAATTTTTGGTACTGAAGACTCTTGATTTTTTACTAAGTCTTTTTTGCTTTTCATGATAAAGTATTATTTTCGCTGACGAAGCTTCATGATCAGAAATACCAGAGGGCAATACTGTACATATAAGATCATTGCATTCGATATTACTGCATATATAATCGATAGTTTTCGCTGAATGATTGGTTATACGTATAAAAGCTAGCAGTCCCCTATAGTAAAAAATATTTTTTCAAATTTTTTCTTTGTATTAGAATTAGGTGCTTTTTAGGTGCTCCTAAATAGTCCAAGAAAAAATAGAATTGATTAATTATTAACTGAGTTACAGATTTTTTTTTAATTACTAGGGGACTACTAGCTTTCATAACCTAGCAATCCCTTAGTTTTTTTTGATTTTCTCAAAAACTAGAGACGCACCTTATTTTTAATTAGATAATTAGGTGCTAATAATAATTAAAAATAAGGTGCGTCTCTAGTTTTTGAGAAAATCAAAAAAAACTAAGGGATTGCTAGGTTTATGAAAGCTAGTAGTCCCCTAATAATTAAAAAAAAATCTGTAACTCAGTTAATAATTAATCAATTCTATTTTTTCTTGGACTATTTAGGAGCACCTAAAAAGCACCTAATTTTGATACAAAAGAAAATTTTGGAATAATATTTTTTACTATAGGGGACTACAAGCTTTCATAAACCTAGCAATCCCTTAGTTTTTTTTGATTTTCGCAAAAACTAGAGCAGCACTTAATTTTTAATTAGAGGCCCTATTTAGCACCTAAAAAGCACGTAATTATTATATAGATCTCGAAGTTTTTCCGTCATTCTGACACAACAACATGTAAACGTAAAGCCAGCAGTCCCCTTATAATTAAAAAAAATCTGTAACTCAGTTAATAATTAATCAATTCTATTTTTTCTTCGACTATTTAAGAGCACCTAAAAAGCATCTAATCTGATACAAAAGAAAATTTTGGAAAAATATTTTTTACTATAGGGGACTACTAGCTTTCATAAACCTAGCAGTCCCTTAGTTTTTTTTGATTTTCTCAGAAACTAAAGGAGCACCTAATTTAATTAGAGGCCCTAATTAGCACCTAAAAAGCACCTAATTATTATATAGTTCCCGAAGTTTTTTTCCACCTTAGGACTGCTAGGTTTATAGACCTGGATTTATGGCCATTTGCACCGTCCATTTTGAGGGAGGTTTAACGATAATCAACGCTTAAAGTGACATTTTTACATGTTAGAATTTGACATTGGACATTTGCAGGGCCGTATCTAGACCAAAATTTTGGGGGGGTTACACAAAGTGGCAAAAAAAAATTGTTACACTAGTACCTAATAAAAAAAATAAAAAATAAATAAGTACCTATTTAATAAGTGTTGTTTGTTTTTAAGATAAATTTTTTGAATTTTACTATTTTTTGGTGGGGGTTTGAACCCCCAAAACCCCCCCCCCTAGATACGGCCCTGGACATTTGAATGTGAAATTTTAACCAATAGGAAAGAAATCCGCAAAAAAAAATCGCTATTTCGCGTCTATGGAGACTAGTCTTAAATAGTTATGCCAAAGGTTACCAATTATATATTATACCTATTAGGGCCGGTTTATTCATCTTCTGATAAACTGTCAGGTATGCAATCTGACCCATATAAAAACGAAATTTGTTATCCCATTGATTGGCCAGTTATCCGCCGACCAATAGAATTATAGAACGGTGCACTTATCTTGCAGATAGTTACCAGGGAGCTTATCTGAAGATGAACAAACCGGGCCTAAGTATGTTTACCAATATCTGTAATGTTATGTTATACAGAATGGATTTTTTTTACAAGAATGTATTTGTTCATAGGTATATCCTGGGTATACATTAGGTATGCAGTGTTATTTTATCTGAATAAGTTTTATTTTTCCATACTAGATATTGTTGTTATTGCATTTTTATTTTAAACCTAACAAAAAAAAATACTTAAAATAAATAATTGAAATCTAAAAATTTTAGCACAATTTTTGTTTAGCAACAAAGACCTAGTAATATTCTGGTATTGGTAGGATTGAGAGAAATCTAGTAATATTCTGGTATTCCAAGTTTTATAATCTGGTAAAATGGCCATTCATATAGTTGGCAACACTGCTGCCAGATCATGCTACAAAAAAATTAAAGAAGTATTAGGTTTAAACCTGAAAGGTCATAAGTTTTTTTATAATAAAGATGCCAAAGGATCATTAATCTCAACAGAAAAGAAATTTGAAATTTCATCGTTTTAGTACCTACTGAGGTAGCTACCTTATGATTTAGATTTTGGAAAACTTTGAAAAGTCAGAACTCTTTTTCTATTAAAGATAGAAAGCTGAAATTTCCAGCGATTCTCATCCTAGTAGAGGACTACAATGACAACGATTAGGTATACAGAATTTGGATCATTAAAATCTGACTAGATCCTGTTAAGAAAATCTGGCTCATTCATTACAAATACCTACTGATATAGCTCTATCTCATTATACACACATAATTTTTTTATCCTAGAAAACTATGAGTTATTATATTCCCCACGAAAGAATCTGGCTCATTACCTACATTACATGACGATTGAGCTCTGGTTATAGAAAATTTGGATCATTATATACACACTATACATCTGAAAAAATGTAACTCGGTACTAATTAGAATAAAACACAATTAAATCTTAAATCCTTTATTATCATCTATAATCAGATGGTACTTCAACTTGGGGAGGAATAACACCACTATCAATTTTTTTAATCAACTGGTACGTCGGCTCATAAACCAATTCAGAAGCATTTCTACCGAAAAGATAATCAATATGATTAAACCTATAAAATGGTATTTTGTACAGGTAAATCGTATTGGGTAGATTCAGAATCGCTTCGTAGACGTCCTAGAATTTGATAAATGTTTTAATTTGTTAAAATGCTCTACAACTAAGTACCTCTAAAGATATCATACCATCTAGAGGAGCTGAAAAGAAAGCACTGGGAGCCGTTACAGCTGATAAGTTGTAATGAGGAGGATCTGTTTGGCCGTAAAGTTTTAGGTTACCTTTAGGACCATAATCGTATTTTCTAAAAGTACCTAAAAAAAATTAAAACATAATATATTTATGAAATACGAAAATATTTTATTTGCCTATATGCACCTGACAGTATAGGAGGAGTAGAAATTTTAATTTAGAAAAATGTTTTTAAAGGAAAATGGCAAAGCTAGCAATAACATTTACAAATTGATGTTGAAGTTCTACAGGGTATTACAAATTCGTTAGTAAGCATGGGGATCTCGATAACCATGTCTTTGGGCCACCGTTTTTCTTAACTTTGTCAGAAAAAAAATAGATTTTATTTTTGTATTTTCATCAAAAGATGTCGATGTAAACCCAGTCATTTCGATTGAGTTGATACAGAGCGCTATTTATGACCAATCAAATCAATGTTAAATAATTTTTTGACTAATTTAGACTCTCTTTCGATTAGAAAAGCCAAAATTCGAAAAATATAAATAAATTAAATTTCGAGTTTTTTAAAAGGCTAGCTTCAATATCTCGAAATCCATAAGAGATACCTATTTAATTAAAATAAATAAAAACGATTCAATTATTGAGTACTTGCCATAAAATAATGAGTTTGACAAAGACAAATTTATGAAGAAAATAATGTGTTTTGACAAAGATAACTATCTCCATACAAATTATGGCACTAAGCACCTGGCACAAAGTAAAAGGTAGTAAGATAATAAAGACATAGCTCTCCTAAATGGGTACCAAGTAACTGAGAACAAAACCAAAAAGAAATCAAAGAGTGTACTTAAGTTCCTTTAGGTACTCACCATTAACAACATTATCAATAAAATGAGAAGGTTGCTTGAAGGAAACTCTCTGCATGCTGCTAACAATAATAGGATTAAACTAAAAATACAGATTTAACGAAATATCTATAGTTTTCAATAAAACATGTTTACCTCATCGATGTGCATAACAGACCTATGTGTGCCAATAACGCCTGAGCCTAGCTGGAATATTCTAAACCAAAACGGATCTTTTTTTAATAATAGTTCAATCATAGGGCGTTTGAGACTTGATATAACCGTGGGAATCAGTTCGACCATTCTTAAGAGTTTTATGACACCCTGAAATGTGTATACAGTTTCAACTAGTATCAACTATCTCAAAGTTTACTTTTACAAGACTGCCGAGCTGTATACCAAAAATCATAGCTGGATAATCCATACGTCTTATAATAGGACTGCTACCCCACGATATTGCTAGCTTCACTTTTTCATTGTACTGCGGTTTTTCGGACATCAAGACGTAAAACATATTGCCTCCTGCAGAATGTCCAATCATCGTAACTTTTTCTTGTCCAGTATAATTCAAAATATAGTCGATTGTAGCTGCCAAATCGTATATTCCTATTTCATGGAAACTATGCACCCAGTACTCTGAATCCTTGTTCCAGTCTAATTTCACGTGCTTTTTTTCAAAAGGAGTTTCACAGCCTCTAGATGAAAACAGCCACACGTCCATTCCTCGATCAGCGAAATAATAGGGAGATGACCTTTCCTTGCCTTGAATTAAAAAATAGTGGGCACTACCACCCATTCCATGGACTATCAAAACTACGCTTTTATTCTTGTTGTCGGTTTCTTGGTTTTTCAAACCATGTGGTATACGATAAGCTACAAGAATATATCCATCTTCAGTGATTATTTGATGAATTTCTACTGGATATCCATGTTTTACAATTCGCTCTTCCTAATATAATAAAATTTAGCTAATGTCAAGCAAAATCAGTAATACTTACAAGCCTTAAATCATAATCTGGTATGTTTTCAAATGTTTTATTAGAACAAACCACCAAAGATACAAAAATAAGTAAACAAATTAGCACAATTCTATCCGTCATGTTTGCCATTATAAAAATGTTTAAAAAGACAAAACCTACTAATAATTAGTACGACAAGTTTTGGTACCTATGTTGCTCTATTAATTATAGCGTAATTAGCGTAAACATTTCAATTCAACAAGCCACAATTACCGAATTAAAAAAAAAAAACTTACTTGTACATTTTTCTGGGAAGTATTAATTTACGATTACACTATAGCAAATAATTGATAGTGTGCCTTGCATAGAGAATATTGACCCATTAAATGCTGTTAAAAACGAGACAACCGTTGAAAATTTTGCAAGAACAAGAAGAAGAGAGAGGTTATTTTGCTGGCATATTGTTATCAGCCTTTTTCCATTGTTATTCGTTACATTTCCTTCAAATGTTCCCATTACTTTAATTGTCTTTTTTTTTTCTTCTTGTCTGTTCATTAGTCTCCCCAGCAATATTTGTTCTTTTTAATTTCCCATTTTCATAATTTGATCACTGTTGTTGACAGGATGCATCTTTCATATTCAGGTACCTAGTATTATTTACTTCAATTTTTGGAGCAGAATATATGAGAGATTGCTCAATCAAATATACTATGCACTATGCGGCAGACCATCAAAATAGGCTAAAATGTAACAAATTGAGTTAAAAGCATGAAATTTGGCAGAGTTGTTTTTTGAACTATTTTAAGGGATTTGACCCGCAGCACCTAAAATTTAAACCCTTAGGAGGGTGGTTTAACCCCTATTTTTTTTTTTTTTTTGAGGGGTAAAATTATTAAAAATGTCTGTCATCATATTATTGCAATATTGGTGTCATTTTAGACTAATTTGAATATAAGGAAAAAATATGCCATCTTCATAGGACCCAACGGTAGGTCTCTATTGCTGTCATATTTGACATAAATGTCAACAATATCTTTTTTTTACATTCATACCTATCTGGAAAAAATATATGGCGATTTATACCTACACATAGAATTTGGCTCGAAAAATCCATAAAATATGTTTCGAATCTGTACAGATTATTGATACAGCTCTACAGCAACGTTACACAGAAAAAAACAACATCTAATCTAAAATAAGCTGTCAAAAATCAAAAATCTCGTGCAAAATCAGTGCTCATTCGTTATGCCGACACTGACATTTTGGTTTTGGCCGAGGTTTTGGCCATATCTTTCTATTCTCGATTGAAACGCCTAGGTATGGAAAATCTCTGGCTGCTCTATGGATGCTCAAAATCCCTTTTCGTTCAAGCTACACCATTTGTCAAAAGAATTGATATCATATTGCAGCAGTTGTGAGTCTTCCAATGATGATACGTGACGATAAAGTTTAAGGTCATCTGCAAATGACAAAAATGAGCTGTGGGCAACAGAACTACCCACATCAGATATGAACAGATTGAACAAGACTGGTCCACAGTGAGACCCCTGAGGAACTCCAGAAGGAATATCAAAGACCCGAGACACAACACCGCCATACCTTACTGCCTGTGTTCTCCCAACAAGAAAGTCATCAAACCAACTCAGAATTGAACCTCTCAGCCCCAAACAACCAAGCTTCCTAATGAGCAGGCGATGGTTAACCCTGTCAAAGGCTTTAGAGAAGTCCGAGTATACAGAATCGACTTGGAATCCCCTCTCCATGCTGTTCAAAATAAAATTCTGATACAAAACCAAATTTGTTGATGTTGACCTACCCACCGTAAACCCATGCTGTTCCGGATTTAAAAGGTACCTGCAATCCCAGCTAAGTTTCCTGGTAATGAGACAATCTAGCAACTTAGGAATCTCAGACTGCGTGCAAACAGCCCTGTAATTCGTGACCTCTTCTCTTGACCCACTTTTAAATATTGGTTTCAGAAAGCTGAACTTCCACAAAACCGGGTAAGAACCTGTTGACAATGAATGGTTGAAGAGACTTGCCAGGGGCGTCGCAAGGGTATACAGGCATTTCTTTATAAAGAGCAAGGGAATTCCATCCGGCCCACATGACAACTTATCAGGTGAATTTCTTACTTGTTCTATTATATCAGCACACGAAACAGAGTATGCAGAAACATCAGTGACGTTGGAGAATGAGTATTCTGGAGCCTGGTTAGTGGTGCGACTCGAGTACACACTTGAAAAGAAGTCTGCAAACAAGTCTACGGTTTCTTGATTACTACAGCCAGTAGAGCCATTATAACTCATGTTACAGGGAAGGACAAAGTTATTTTTGAGATTGTTGAAATGTGACCAAAATGATCTAGGATTCCTATTGATGTTAATTTCAGTTTTGAGCAGGTACATTCTATAAGAGGAGTCCCTTAAATCTTTGCACCTATCCCTCACTTCAGAGAACAACAAATAATCCAAGTTATCTCCCGTTTCTCTATATTTTTTGTCTAGCTTCTTCTTTTCAACAATCAATCTACGCAGCTCAGTGTTGAACCACAAAGGAAAGTTCGAAGTTCGGAATTTCTTTACTGGAACATATAAAGTTATCCCCTCCCACAATGTTTCATAAAACCATAGAACAGCCTGCTCAAGGGTCAAATCATTCATCAAACACCAATTCACACTAGCCAAATATTCATTCAATGAAATGTAATTGCCACTTTTAAAATCAAAGAAGCACTCCTCATATTTAGAACGTTTGCATTCTACATTATGGCTGAATCCCATAGATATAGCAGTATGGTGAACACTATTACTCAAAATCATATCGGTGGCTCTGTCAATCTCAACAGTACCCAAGTTTGAAAACACCAAGTCAAGCAAAGCATTCCTGCTATTCGTGATGGTGTTTATCTGACGAAAATTGTAATAATTTAGACACTCTATTAAATCATTAGCTGGAGAATTGCCCGCACACTCACTGGTTAGACCAAACTCATTATTAACCCATTTAACCTGTGGTAAATTAAAATCGCCAGCCAGCAATAAGTTACATTTAGGATATAAATTAAAAATTGATTCGATTGATTGACAAACATCAACAAACAAGCCTACATCAGACCTAGGTGGCAGGTAGATACAGCCCAATACAAATTCAGATGACTTAATTTTAAAATATACATAAACCTGTTCAACAGTCATAACATCAATGTTTAGTCTTTGGCATTGCAAATCCTTCCTGGCAGCAATCAGAACTCCTCCCCCACGAGTTCTGGGACCCCCAGTTGATGAACGATCAGTACGAAACAAATCAAACTGCCCTGGACAGAGCTCTGTATCATATATATGTTCCGTTAACCACGATTTCGCAAGCATTATAACATCATAGTGACAACATTCAATATCCTTCCGAACCTCACTAAGTTTAGTTCTAAGACCACCAGCATTATTGTAATAGATCAGAATATCAGTGTGACCACCATTCCCAGCTATACACCGGCCTGATTCATTTGATCCCGTCGAAAATTCTCGGACTTGCGTACATTGCTCCACCAGAATTTTCTTAAAACAACGCCTTTTGGCCAGATATCAGGTCGTGAAAAACTTTCCTTGCAATCCGAGTGGATGCTTATCTTGAAAGAGATAGTTTCCCCATTAATTGGCAAAGGTACAACCTTAAGGTCCCTAACATCTGGACATTGCTTTTTAACATGCTGTTCAATAAAATTAGGTGTTACTCTCTGAATTGAGCCTGAAAAATTCTCATCCCCTGAAAAATTTGCCTGTCCAAAAACAAAACTTTGGTTGCTTTTACGGTTCCTTCTTTTTCGATTTTGCACCAAAGTAAATTCAGTCTCAGCTGATTCCTTGTTTTTGTTTATATTCTCTACATCTCCCTCCTCTCTCACCTGTCGAAGAGCGCTTTCAGTTCTCAATCGTGCCTGCACTTCCTGCTCCTGCTCGATTTGCTGCTGTTCTACTTGCAGATCCACTGGCGCAGGAAAAGAAGAAGAGGAAAATTTGGCAACATTGGTCTGTCTTGTTCGAACTTTGTCTTGTGATGGGGGAAAAGGCGGCGCTGCCACGTCCACCCCGGCTTCCAGTAAGTTGCGTTCTTTTTTTTGCTTTTCCAGCAAAAATCGCACCAGCTCCTTATTGCTCTCCAACACAACTTTGAACATGGCGTCAAACTTCTCAATTAGACGTCCTTCCACCTCCTCTAGGGTCTCATTAAGTAGGCGTTTGGTTACTTCATTATTACTAGCTAGCTAGCAATTGTGTGTAGTTCGCAGAGACCTCGGAATTAACCTTATTTAAATTCTTATCGGCACTATTGAACTCAGAAAATTTCTCAATGCAATCCCTGCACCATATCAGGACGGTTCTTGTTTTAGCAATTGCACACCTTACCTCCTGTGAGGAAATTTTGCTACAATCCCTACAAGAGGCTTTCTGGCAATTATCGCATAAACATCCAAACAATTGAGTCTTGCTTTCCCGGAAAAAACATATCTGGGTGCAAAATCCACAATGCAGCTCATCCATAATTCTCAAGAATTTCTGACAAGATGCACTGACAATACTGCGAAAACACTTGTTTCCAAACAATCCCAAAACTCGAGGAATTCGACAATAAGCACAGTTATTTTACGTAATTCATAAGCACAAAACTATGCTAGTGACTAGTTACACTGACTCTCACGTTAATTGTGGGTATGAGCCACTCAAAAATACTCTTAGACAACTCAAAGACCATCATGGTCGGCCCTATTGATGAATAGATGAATAGATGGCTGCGTAACTCGCTGCGCTCGTCCCACAGAGGTCCACCCATAAGTTCCGCAACAATTCACTCATTTGTACTTGAATAACTTGTCACATTATGTTACTAGTTTGGTAAGATTATATTACTTATTCCTGTTAAAAGGCAAATTGACAAAAAGTGGAAAATTGGGGATAATACCACGAGAGCTTCAAAATTACCGATAATTTTTCACGATTGCGTGTTTTCTATAATTTTCACAAATTTGCAGAGAAAAGATGCATGAGTGAAAAATTATCTGGTTCATTTTAAAGCTCAAGTGGTATTTAGAGGATTATTTCACGTATGAGAATGCAAAAAATATGGAAATAAATATGTATTAAACGATTTGAACATCTTAACAATCAATACAAATAAATGGTTGCTATCAGGAACCGTTTGTTTGTATCAAAAATTAGCATGACAACCATGTATGGGAGAATTATCACTGTAATTCTCTCTAGTTAAACAAATGGAAAAGAGAATTTTCGCTGTAATTCTGAAAATCGTCACTTGTCTTATGGGATTTCTAACACATGAGTGGAATAATCTTACAAATTCTGACTTTATATAATAAGTTATTGTTCAAGTACAGAGTGTTTTGACACCCCACCTACAGCCTTCACCTTGACAAGTAGATGAAAGGTGTAAATACAAAAGTTGGACAATTGCTTTTGAACAGAAGAAAGATTTCGCCTTTCAAGCTCAATATTTTTGGAACCAGACCAAATATCGACCTCTGGTTTTCACGGGCCAACAGATTGACTTTTTGTGAAAAAAATTGTGTATGGACACTAGAGGTTGATGTTTTGGTTCCAAAAATATCGAGCTTGAAAGTTAGGCATAATTACTTGCCATTAAGGTCTTATTTACGTTTTCATACCAAATATCGAATATTAGCCTGCTGTGTTCCGATACACTTTAGCAAATTAGTGAAGATGTTAAAATGTTTTTATGGCATGTTACATACCACTGGAAAGGGGATAAAATAGAGAACTTTTTAAGAGAATTTGAAGATCACGATCGACTTTTTTTTTATTGCAATAGAAATTTCACTTTTCAATTTATTTTTACCTGTTTCAAAAATTTTATGAGTTACCTTTTCCAACAGTATTTTGGAAACCTTCAATAATACTTTAGAATAGCCATTTGTATTTGAGAAATCCCCATATCAATAATGGAATAAATAATTGTATTTAAGAAAGCATTATTTGTATTTTGGAATAATCACTTAAACTTGGAAATGCTTCAAATGTAGTTTAGAAAAACTAATTTAATTTTAGAAAGCATCAGATAAATTTTTGAATTACCAATTTAACTTAGGAAACCGTTATTTGTATTTTAGATCAAACCATATGTATTTAAGAAAGTTTCAATTGTAGTTTAGAATTATGTAGTATGCAGTATACTTTTGTCATATAATACTTCATCATTACTTCATCTTTGCCAGGTGTCAAACTTGCTGTCCCTTTATCAGGCCTTTGTCTTCTACATACTACCTATTTTTTATAATTTAGTTTTCATAATAAAAGTAATTTTGCATAGATAAGTAATTGTGAAGCTGCAGAAATATGAATCTTCGAGACATTTGTGGTATTTGCCGAGTCTCCATAGCTGCTCACGAACTGATCATTTTCTGACCTATGTTGAAGTTTTCGATTTCCATTTATCGATCAGTGTGTACTGAGTATATTCCCATCTTTTTCTAATAACATGTAAAACATAAGGATAAAGATTTTTTTTTGCGCACTGTTCAGATTTTTTCTTTAAGTTAGGTCAGAAAGTGGTCTGTTCGTAAGCAGCTTATGTTAAGGAGATCAGTTTTACGAATGGTTCCCTGTAACCATCTCTTCCATGCGCATTGTGTTGAAGAAGGTAGGCTTAATACACCTGGATCATTATGTTCAATGCGTAGAGCCGAACTGGATTTGTTGTTTTTGTGTTGAGATTGTTAAGATTATGTAGGTTTAATTTTTTTTTTAAATTTCCCTCTTATGTCAAATATGCGACAAGAGATGTCCATCTTTGAAGTATTTATACATACCTGTAATCTAAAATTCAAATGATTGTTTCTGAAATTCATATGGTGTTTCTAAAATACAATTGCTCCAATCGAAAATACATATGGCTTTTCTAAAATACATTTGAAATTATCGATAATACAATTCTTACTTCTAAAATGCTTTTGAATATTTCGCAAATACATTTGAACAATCTTAAATACACATGGATCTTTCGGAAATACAAATGTTTATTCTAAAATACAAATGACACTTTCTTAAATCCAAGTGATACTTTCCTAAATACTGTTGGAAATGGTGTAGACGTTAATGGCTAGTTATTTTGTATTTGGTGGAACCATACCACAGTACACATAAAAATAAAAATAATATTTGGAGGCTAGGCCAACAATTTTTTTAAGTGGCGAATTTTGAGATTTAAAAAAAAAATTAAAAAAAAAAAACAAATTGAAAAAAACCCTAGGGGTCAAGGATGAGTTATTATAGCTGAAAAGTTAGCAAATGGCCTCTTCTTTCGGGCAGTTAAATTTGGCAAACGATGCATCAAACACCCTGTATAATAATCATTCTAGTCTAATTAATATTTATTATCTCTATGTTAAATTGCAATATATCTTTATTCATATTCATTAACTACCTACTTGCCGAATTTTTATAATTGTGGTAACCTAACTAATATATAGTACCTATATCTATTGTTCATTTATTTATACTTTCTTTACATTTGTACATTGTAAACTATTGAATGGCTTATCCGTAAAATAAAACCAATTCTATTCTATTCTATAAGAAACTTGGAAATAACTTTTCAACATCAAAGGAAATTCAGTGGCCCTATTTGAAAGTCACATTCCAGTTGTTCTTAATTCCATTTCATCCATTTTTTAGTGGAAAGTTCCAATTTTTTGACGAACCACTGCCCATCTTCTTCACGTACTTCTTTCATTGCACTTTTGCGATTGAGTCCAATTTCTTAGTTTTTTGGCTTCCTTTTCCGGTGTTCCTTTCTGTGTTAAAATAGACTTCGAGGGCGAAATCAAATTGAGATGGGCCTTGAGCTCTAAATCCGGAGATACAGGTAAAGTTTAGGTAATTTTGTTTCAACTCAATCTCACATATCAACTGCATTAATTCTTAAAAAAAAAAATTACTTTCTCTCAATCCAAGTATTATTTATCCATTGTGGCAACATGGCTTGCAGGCGGATCCGCACCTTGGCCTCGGCTAGCGGAGGCCCGCGACTCTGGCGTTTCGCCTGTTCCACGTGGAGTTTTTATGGCGACGTTGCCGGCTAATAATAGTCCCGTCCTGAAAAGCGCAACGCAATTAAAATTATGTATTTATCCACGTAAATTTTATAATACGGGTATATTGTTTTTAAAGGGAAAATTTCCGTATTGTTTTTAAATTATTATTATTTTGATTTGGTAAACAGCGATAATCAGGAATTTCTCTGGATGGAGTTGTGAGATTTTATTATTATTGTTGCAATGTTGAGGTTATATTGTCTATAAAGGATAAGAAAATGTGCCAGAAAAGAAAAACAAAAATATAATAAAGTTATTATCAGTAGGGAGGTTCAAATCTATTTAAAAATATTACGTGTCTCTATATTGATTTGCTCAAAAACTATTGCTGCCCTATTTTATTTGTTTTTTCATGAACCTTACAATAATTTCAAAATCTTATTGGAAACTTAGTTCAATTGACTGAATTTTCCACCTCATTTCTATGGCCACGTGGGAAGAAAACTATAACGAATACAATGGTAATGGTAAATTCCCCTAAAATTTGATTTTGAGTTTTGATTCTAAGAAATGGTGTTTTTGAATGTCTCCATTGATATTAAAGGCACAAAATAGCGAAATTATAAATCGCTGTCAAGAGCCAAGAAAATTATTATTTAAATTTTGAAAATCTAATTTATTTTGAAGACCTATCATCATAAGCCACAGTTCATGGAGAAAAAAAAATCACCGATTAGTAGATACTACTGAGGTAATATCATAGATGGCAGTAGAGTCATCAGTCTACCACCATTGCGGTTTCTTTTTTGTTTTTAGACACTATTTTGAGTTTCTCTTCCTTGCTATTCCCAGCTAAAATGATGAGACCTGAATTAAAAGGAGAAAAATGCCTCAGTGTAAAAAGTTTCGATTGGCCTGGAAAGGCCTCCCAATTAAATAAAACAAAAACATGGTCAGGTATATTTTATGTCGAAAATGGAATTTTTATTGCAGGAAACACAATACCATCATCAATATCCTTTATCAACTTGAGGGTAGGTTTGTACACCAAACTCGCAGCTTTCCTAGCGAAAATAAAATCTGTATGTGTGAACTTGTCGAAGGGTATCTGATAAATCAAGACCGTGTTAGGTATTTGGGCAACTGATTCATAAATATCCTGAAAAAAATTTAGTGAATTTAGGTTTAAACTACACAATTATGAAATTCTGACCTCTATATTTATGATACTGTCCCAAGATCCGATAAAAAAAGCAGTGGGCGCTGTTGCAGCTGATAAATTGTAATGCGGTGGGCTTCGTTGTCCATACAGGTGTATGTTTATTTTAGGCCCATAATCGTATTTTCTAAAAGTACCTAAAATTTGAAAAAAAAAAAATTGATAATTTTTTGAATCTTCTAAGTTAGCCTTACCGTTATTGAAATTGTCCATAAAATGGAACAGTTGCCTACCAGACAGACGAGGGAGATTGCTGGCGATAATTTGGATATCCTTTAAGAAAATAATTTGGGAAAAATCAACTGTATACTCAATAGCTCAAAATTTTTTTTTCTGCATTTCTATTATGTCAGTCATGATAACAAAGGTCTTAATTGACTTCAAAAAATTTCAATTTAATCGGACTAAAGCTAAGGCAGATACAGGGTGTTGAGTAAAAATTTAGAAAAATCCATAAAATAGGATATTTTTTGGAAAATACCGGCGAAAATGGTCAATTTCGCAATTCCAGATTGACTGGCGAACTCCAAAATCGGATCCCCGGTCAATTTACCGAAAAAAAACATTTTTCCAAATGAGCTGAAATTTTCAAAGATTGTAGTCCTCTCAGTGGCGGCTCGTCAGAGAAGGCAGGCGAGGCTTTTTTTAAGCCTCCCCCAAAAAATTGAAAATTCAATCTCAGTTTTTCATTCCTGATTCCTAATTGAAATGATAATTCACAAATTTCGATATTTCAATGTAATTTAGAAAAATCTGACAACATTATTTCAATCAATCCCGCGCCTCCACGACAAAAATCTGTGAATCTGGGATACTCAGTAATACGAGCCCGAAGGACCGGAATTATATGCGAGCTCAAAGGGCTGGAGTAATACGAGCCCGAAGGGCCGGAGTTATTCGCGTGCTCGAAGGGCCCGAGTTATACGCGAGCCCGAAGGGCCGGAGTTATACGTGAGCCCGAAGGGTCAAAGACTGATGTGAAGTTATCAGACAAAAGTTATCAGACAATTTTCCGAAAACATCCGAAGGTTCAGTGGCGTCGGTTTTTTTTATATATTTTACCTTTATTTCTTGTAACATCAGCTTATTAGGTGCTCCCTAAGGATATCACATAAAAATTCTCAATATTTTCTTATTCTTAGTAGGTACAAATCTACGGTCATTGAAATTTTAGAAGGTGAAACTGTTTCTTAGCATTTCTCAAAAACTGTCTGCACTGACAAGTTAAAATTATTACTAGACATTATTTAGATCACAAAGAACAATAAAAAAATATACCATACCCCTGCGCCCCTTCGGTCTTTGAAATTTTCAAGGGTGCAATACGGTGAAATATGTTTTTCAACTTTTTTCAAAAACGGCCCGTACTGACAGGTTCAAATTGTTACTAGACATTATTTAGATCACATAGAACAATAAAAAAAATATACCATACCCCATAAGCTCTTTGTGACTTGAATATCTGATAATAATTTGAACCGGTCAGTACGGACGGTTTTTGAGAGATGCTAAAACATATTTCACCGTATTACACCCCTAAAAATTTCAAAGACCGTAGGAGCGCAAGGGTCTGGTAAATTTTTTTATTGTTCTTTGTGATCTAAATAATGTCTAGTAATAATTTGAACCTGTCAGTACGGGCCGTTTTTGAGAAAAAATTAAAAACATATTTCACCCTCACCCTTAAAAATTTCAAAGACCGAAGGGGCGCAGGGGTATGGTATATTTTTTTTATTGTTCTATGTGATCTAAATAATGTCTAGTAACAATTTGAACCTGTCAGTACGGGCCATTTTTGAGAAAAGTTGAAAAACATATTTCACCCTTAAAATTTCAAAGACGGAAGGGGCGCAGGGGTGTGGTATATTTTTTTTAATGTTCTTTGTGATCTAAATAATGTCTAGTAATAATTTTAACTTGTCAGTACGGACAGTTTTTGAGAAATGCTAAGAAACAGTTTCACCTTCTAAAATTTCAATGATCATAGATTTGTACCTACTAATAATAAGAAAATATTGAGAATTTTTATGTGATATCCTTATCCCACCTAATAAGCCGATGTTACAAGAAATAAAGGTAAAATATACATATAAAAACAAAACCGACGCCACTGAACCTTCGGATGTTTTCGGAAAATTGTCTGATAACTTCACATCAGTGGGCCAAAGTTATTTAAGTCACGAGGCTCAATCTATAATTCTATTGGTCAGCGAATAATTTGAAGTCAATTAAAAACCGGGAGTATTTAAAATGCGATTTTTAGCGTCGGGAATATTCAAAAACTTCAGTTTTATCAAATTGACTTTGGAATGTTGGTTTTCTATGGGGTTTTCTTGATGTTTTTACTTTTTTCAGAAAAGGGTGCTTTTGTAAATTTATACTACTTTATCGTTGTCTTTGTCTTACTCATTATAATCAATAAGTAAACCTTATAATGTCATTTTCATTGAAATTAAACTAAAAACATGTTTCCTATGATTTATTTGGGGAATTTTAATTATTATAATCATCGGGGTTTGATTTTCGTAGCTTTTATAGTAGAGCGGGGAAAAAGTCGAACATGTGTCAAATTTGACAGGTGACATCTGTCGATATCGCCAAAGTGTCGTGCGACAAAAGTTTTATCCGAACGAACCTATCTTTGAAACAAAAAGACGTCATTTTATATCGATTGTCAAAAAAATCAAGGTCTACTTTGAAATTTCAATTTTTTGACGTTTGTTGTGTCATGAGCAGTGTTGCCATATGTTTTTTTTTTTCAAATCACGAGCTCGAAGGGCCGAGATTATAGGTTATTAAAAGCCAATCAAGAACCGGGAATATTCAAAATTTAAAGCCAATCAAGAGCTGGTAATAATCAAAATTCGAATCCCCAAACCAATCAGGAGCCGGGAAAATTCAAAAATTTGAATTCTAAACCCGACGGGAAACTTAATTTTTTGTACCAACTGTTGTTACAAATGAATCAATTAAATTTTCATATAAGTGTTGCTACATAAATTTCACCCTAAAACCCACTAAAAAACGACTTGTTTTCTAACCTTTGTTTTTTGGAAAAAACAAAAGGATTTTTTTCTGAGATTGACAGCTGTCAAAATTTGAAAAAAACCCACATGGGCATATAGATTTAGCCTCGGCGAATACGTAGGAAATACCAATTTTTTTTTTAACATATGTCAAAAAAGACGTTCGACCTTGCCAGGGTGTTGGTTTTTGACATATATCGATGAAACTTTTTATTTTAGGGTTTTCGGAGCCTGGGGATCGTTTTCTGACATTTGTTTTTTGAGAAAAAGAAAAGGTAAAAATTTTAGACATTGACAGTTGTTAAAATTAGAAAAAAAAAACCACATGGGCATATAGATTTAGCCTCGGCGAATACGTAGGAAGTAGCCAAACAGGGAACCGGCCAATTTTTTGTTGTATTATAAGCAGTGTTGCCATATGTTTTTTTTTTTCAAATCTCGAATCTGGAAGACTGAGGTTATCTCAATTATGAGTTCAAAGGGCCGATGTTATACGAGTCCGAAGGGCCGGAGTCATGCGAACCCGAAGGGCCGGAGTTATACGAGCCCGACAGACCGGAGTTATTTTAATCATGAGCAGGGCCCCCGCTACCATAAGCGCAAAGGCGTGCGGCGCATGCGGGCGGCATATATAAAAAAAAATTAATTTACAATTTATTCAATATTTAGTAATTAATTTTTTTTCCTAAAGTGTTTCAATTATTTTCCTTTTTATTCAAAGGCCAGACATCTGATGATTCTCGAAACGCCCAGGGTGCCAGACATTCCACTATACAATTCGGCACCCGTCTCTAAGGCGATTGGCTGATTTTAATAATATTCTGATATGCTTACCGAGGCTGAAACGCATAGTGGAATGTGTGAGCAGTGCTCAAATCATGAGTGGAATGTTCATACTCATTATGCATGATTGCAACAACAGAAGGGCTGAATCACGTAGTAGAATGTCAGGACGGTGCCCAAAAGAGTGCAATGCCTTATGATTATTTTTGCGTTACGCATCGAGCTAATTATTGGAATGTAGAAGTTCTTCAAATAGGCGGGTTTTTTTATTTTGAGGGGATTCAATTAAAAACCACTAATTAGGTATAGTATAATATTATTGTAGTTCATTTTAGAAAATATGTAATTTATACATAGTACGAATATACATATTACTATAAATAGTTCCTAAAAATTTTTGATTTTTATTACTTAACTTTCAATAATAATCAAGAAAATGCAGACTTACTCAAACTAATCCGTCGGCCTAGGCCCTAGTGCGATCTAGTCCTCGTAATTTACCATTCTATTTGAAAAAACAGAGTAAATCTAGTTATAGCGTAGAGTCCCTTGAGCGCGATTTGTTTTCCAAATAAAATGCTAACTTTTACGAGGCCCTAGATCGCACTAGGCGGACGGGTTAGTTTGACTTAGTTTGAGTAAGTCTGCATTTTCTTGATTATCATTGATTCAATTTCATGTGTCGCTGTTTTGTTTAGAGGTCGCCTTTTTAAATGTCGCTCTTTTAATATGTCGCGGTGTTAAATGTCGTTTTTTTTTTCACATATTGTGTCTTTTGATATATCGCTCTTTTGCAATGTTGCTGTTTTAGAGGATCGCGCTTTTGAATGTCGTTATTTTATTAGGCCGCTGTGTTTAATGTCGATAATTTGGTATATTGCTTTAACAATACGTCGCTATTTCAAATATTGCCCTTTTGAACCGGAGCCGCGATAAAGAAATCAACATAACATAACTTCCAATCAATTCTACATTCCACATCGCGATTCAGCACCGTTCGCACAATCCACTATCATATTGAGCAGCACGTATTGGCGGCAGCTTGAAATAAATCAACTGAAGCATATGACAATGCACTCTCGTTTTGGGCACCGTTCTAACAATCTACTACGTAATTTCGCACCTTCTATGGTTGCACTCAAAATTGACCAATCAAAATTGAGGCGGGTGCCGAAATCTATACCTAGTGGAATGACTAAATGCGCCCAGGGTCCTTATTCTTGATACAGGGTAGCAGCGTTTCCAAGAGAATAAGTGCTCGGTCTTTCTCAATGACATGTAAATGAGAAGTAACAAAGATAGAACACTCGTTCTCCTGGAAATGCTGCTCCACTGTTTCAAGAATAAGGACCCTGCGCTCGTCTAAGGACGGGAACAGGTGCCCTGTCCTACTCAGTTCCATGTAAAATCTTATATGAGTCAGACAGAGACTGAGAATTAATAGAGCCCTGTCCTGGGCCCTCGTGCGAGCGAGAGTCAGGCTGCAGGTCGCCTCTTAGCTCCGTACAGCTAATGTGCCAATTTTCCTGTCAAATTTTCCAGTTGGTTCTTGCAAAATTACTCTGGACCATTATTATTTATGCAGTTATTAAAAAACATGACAACCCACGCGATTGACTCGCTGTCACTCCAAAAAATCTTCCGCTTTTTCAATCGCCCACACTAAGGGCAGGGGCATCGCGTCGGGGGTAGGGGGGGGGGGGGTATAGGGGGTAATTACCCTTCCTCCCAGAATCGAATAATCAAGAGAAAAATCACTAAGGAAATAATTGTTCTGGAAAAGCGAATGACCTTGATATTTGCAAAAAAATAGCGCCTGCGGCGCGTTTCCTTCTTCCCCCCCCCCCCCCTATGACTGCTTGTCTCGCTACGCCGGTGCCTAAGAGGCGCCAAAATATGAAATCGCACGCGGGCGGCTTCATGTCTGGCGGGGGCCCTGATCATGAGCCCGAAGGTCCGAGGTTATACAAGCCCGAAGGGCCGGAATTATACGAACCCGTTCTTTGTCAATTGATTTTAATACTTTTACTATATTTTTTAGCCTCCTCACTTGAAATAGTCACGAGCCGCCACTGAGTCCTCTACTAGCTTACTATTTATAATAAATTATGAGATTTGAAGCCAAAATCATGTTAGAAAATTGGAAAAACAACTCACTTTCGGATTTTGTATTACTGATTTATGGCTACCAATCATTGCCGTACACAAATTGCACATCTCTGTCCAATTCGGATTTGCGCATACATCTTTTACCAAATCCCAAAACTGCTTGAACATTGGCAAAAATTCGCTTGCACGCAAAAGCCTATTTAAGCCCTAAAAATAAAAATGCTTTTCTCAAAAATTAATCAGACTGCTCCATATACCTTCCAAACAGGTACAAGGGCCGACAACAACATTGCTAACGGATAATCGGTACGTTTCACAATGGGCGAACTGCCCCAACTGATTGCAATTTTCACTTTTTCGTTGTACTGAGGTCTATCGGAAAACATACTGAAAAATTCATTGCCAGCGGCCGAATGTCCTATCAATGACAACTTTTCTTGACCAGTATAGTTCAGTACAAAATCTATGGTACTTGGTAGATCATAAATTGAAATTTCATGTAAACTAGAAAGGATTTGTGAATAATATATATACATCAGTTAGTTTTCCACTTGCTACATTGTTCTGACTATAAGGTAATATTTATTCATATACATACAAAAAACTAATTTTTCTACAGGTGTGTTTGGTTGTTTACCTGAACATCCAATATTTCCTGTCTTTATCCCAATCATACTTTTTATGTTTTCTTTCAAGTGTCGAACGGACTCCCCTGGCAGAAAACAGCCAAACGTCATAGCCTCTGTCTGCAAAAAAATATGGCAAAGAAAACTTTGGACCTAAAATGATGTAAGTATGTGGCGATGCTCCCATTCCGTGTACCAACAAAATGGCACTTTTATTTTTGATTTCTGCAGTTGGTTTTTTGAGGCCGTGAGGTATATGGTAAACAGGCAAGATGTAGCCATCTTTTGTAAAAGTTTTATAAGTTTCCACTGGATAGCCATGCCTTTTAATGCGTTGTTCCTAGAAATTAACTTTATCATTACAATTTGTTTTATAGGTAAATACTTATACCAAATTTAAATCCACTTCTGGATGAATTATGTATCCAGCAAGGATTATTGGGAAATTCAATGCTAATATAACTAAGGCACATTTGGCCATTTTTAATGCTGTATTATTCTAAATACAAAAGTTTTATGTTTATATACACGATTTAATTGTTTATATAAAAAAGAAATTAAGTCAAACAACAGACGAAATACATTAAGCCGTTATAAAAACAATTATATTTTTCTTATATATTTTTACAATGATTATATTATTGTGCTGGTCAATTACATGACGATTCAGCATTAATTATAGAAAATTTGTATAATAAAACACAATTGAATCTCAAATCCTTTATTATGTATAATCAGAAGGTACCTTAACACGGGGAGGAATATTACCACTATCAATTTTTTTAATCAACTGGTATGTCGGCTCATAAACCAATTCAGTAGCATTGTGACCGAAAATATAATCAACATGATTAAACCTATAAAATGGTATTCTGTACAGGTAAATCGTATTGGGTAGATTCAGAATGGATTCGTAGACGTCCTAGAATTTAATCGATGTTATAATTTGTACTAATAGTCTATAGCTAAGTACCTCTAAAGTTATTTCAGCATCTAGAGGAGCTGAAAAGAAAGCACTGGGAGCAGTTACAGCTGATAAGTTGTAATGAGGAGGTTCTGTTTGGCCGTAACGTTTGAGGTTACCTTTAGGACCATAATCGAATTTTCTGAAAGTACCTAAAAGGAATTGGAATATACAGGGTGTCCCAGAATATGTAGGCAAGTATCATTATTGTCTGTCCCTGACAAACTGAATTGACCAAGTCTGTTCAATAGGGTCCATTTTAAGAGGTCGCATCTCAGTATTCATCATAAAAAATATACACAAATTAGGTTATTAACGAAGAAAACTGAAAACTATTTTCAGAAGTGTCCATCAGGGACACAATTGTAAATGGATTGCGTACATATTCTGGGACACCCTGTATATTTATAAAATAGAATGCATACATATACACTAATAAGTACCTATGTAGGAATACTTATTTACAAAACACAATAACAATTCTGTGACATTTACGTAAAGTTTACATACATTTGAAACGGAGGTTTTCCAAAATTTCAACTTTAAGGCTCAACATCTCAAAAACTATATGAGATAAATGATTGAATTTTGTTTCATTTTGAAGAGAATTTAATTCTGATGAAGAATATATAAATTGATATACATTTATATTTAAGTGAAGTAGTTACGTAAATATCTATCTTAACTTTATATAGCTGTGTTTACACTGGGAAGAATAATCCAAATCGACCAAATGTATGTCTTTACTTCAACTTATGAAGTAAATATAAAGAATTAGGTCATATTATATGCATAAGAAATAGTACCAAATAGTTGGAAAAATCAAAGATATTTATTGGAAAATACGGACAAAGAATGTATGGCAAATGTTGCTAAACTTCTGGAAAAGGAAAATATTTTTTGGCATAAACGCACAGTGTAAATGGAGATGGGAAAGTCCAATTTAATAACCCCCAAAAACAGAATCTACTACATCCTCAACAGAAATACATAGGTAAATTTCATGCAAAGAAGAATGATCAAAATAAAGGGAAGCTATACCAGGGCATTGGGGGGCAATGCCCTATCTTTCAAATGATGATGCCCTACCTTTAAAACACAACATGCGTTAAGGTTTCTTTAGGAAATTTGAAAGAGTAAACAATGAAATAAATTGAAATCGAGTAGTGTGTGGATAAGTGTTTCCAGAAACGTCGTAAATAGATGACGTCACCAATGTACCACATAACACTCGTTTTGTGGTTTTTAGTTGACGTAGTTTGTGTTTAGTTTAGGTTTTCGGCAGAAAATAAAGAAAACTCAAAGCGTCGTACTTTAAATCGGTTTTTCTGATCGGAAAAGCGAAAAATACAAAAAAATAACATTGAAAATGACATTTCAAAGCCTACTTAATGAAATTTAAGTTTTTGTTACTTACCCCGTTGAAAAACTCGAAATTTTTAATACAAAATGAAGGAGACTCAAAGTCTCGTACTTTAAGTCGATTTTTCCGATCAAAAACAGCCCGGAAAAGTGGAAAATTCGAGGAAAAACTGGATAAAAATGTAAACACGTCAAATGAAAATTGGCCGACTGTCAAAAATGACAAATGATATTTATTATACAAGGCCTCCTTGATTGAAGTTAGCGACAACCGATGTTGCCACATCAAAAGCATTTTCAATGGGATTTTGCTAAGTATGGCATTTAAAAGTGGAAATTTTTGCTAGAAAATGAAGAAAACTCAAAGCCTCGTATGTAAGATCGCTTTTTTCCATTAAAATCTCCGGAAAAGTCGAAAATTCGAGGAAAAACTGGCAAAAAATCACAAGACGTCACTTGAAAATGGCCGACTAAAAGCATTATTGCCACATTACACCTCGGAAAACAAAAATAACATTTTAAATGAGTTTTTTGTTTAAAATTCAATTAAAAATTGTTAAATAATGATTAAAATAATTAAAATTCCCTAGATAAAAGATCGGAAACTTGTTTTTAGTTTAATTTCAATAAAAATAACATTACAAAGGTTTACTTGGTGATTGTAGTGAGTAAGACAAAGACAACAATAAAGTAGTATATGTTTGCAAAAACCACCGTTTCCTGAAAAAAGTAAAAATCTCAAGAAAACCCAATAGAAAACCAACATTCCAAAGTCAACTTGTTAAAACTAAAGTTATTGAATATTCCCGGTTCTTTGATTAGGCGCTAAAAATCGCATTTCGAATATTCTCGGTTTTTCGATTGGCTTCAAATTATCCGCTGACCAATAGAATTATAAACTGGGCCCCGTGATTGAAATAACTCCGGCTTTTCGAGCTCTCGTATAACTCCGGCCCTTCGAGCTCTCGTATAACTCTGGCCCTTCGGGTTCGCGTATAACTCCGGCCCTTCGGACTCGCATATAATTAACAGTTTTCCCGGTCGAAACCGGCCTGGAAAAGTGGAAAATTCGAAGAGAAGCTGGATAAAATCACTCGAAAATGGCCGACTGTCTAGAATGCCAAATGACATTACATTACAAGACCTACTTGATCAAAAGCGACGTTGCCATAATTACAATCTCAAACATAATGTTTTTCCAGATTTTAGTGAGTAAAACAAAGAAGAAGATAAGGTAGGTAGGATACATTAGTAAAAAACCAAAAGCGATTATAAATGAGTAAGACAAAGAGCGAGATAAAGTAGGAACTAATTTAAATTATTAGTTGGTCGAGCCAAACTATCATCAGAGTAAATTTTCGATTATTCCCGGTTCAAACACTTGGAATAATCACTCAATTTTTTTTTTTGACAACTGACAAGCCTACATACAATATTATGACTTTTGACAATTGACGAGGTTAATTTTCAGGACCACCCACGATTGTTATGACTTTTTTTGTCAATTGACAGCCTTGTGATTCAGATTGAGGCCTGCAACAGCAACGTTGCCACATTTTAACGGTAATTTTGGAGCATTTGTAATTGTAAATGGAAAACGTTGACAAGTGGCAATTGATATCAAGAAACGATTGTTATGATGTTGTAGGCTGATTGAAATTTTCAATTTTTGGCAACACTGTAACACTAGAGGATTGAAATGGCGTTTTTTTTTTAATCATAAGCCCGAAGGGCGAGAGTGTGTTCAATCTTGAGCCCACAGGGCAACAAAGAAACGCCATTTTGTATCGAGTTTTAAAGAAAACAAGGCCTACTTGGAAACGTCAATTTTTTTTTCTTGTATCATAAGCAGTGTATTGCCATATGTTTTTTTCAGATCTCCAGCCTGAATGGCTGGTGTTGCTTTAATTATGTTATGAGTCCGAAGGGCCGAGGTTATACGAGCCCCAAGGCCGGAGTTTTATGAATCCGTTCATTGTCAACTGATTTTAATACCTATTATCAAATGAATATTACAGGTCTGTGATGCCTAGATGTTTTGAGTCACACGCGCGCTACGCTAAAGGAATCAGCGTGTCCTCCCTGGCCGAGTGGCTCAGATAACCCGCTCTGGTACAATTTTTCTTTAATTTTGGTACAACAAATTTTTGCTTTCCGGCAACACTGGTCTAAATGTATGCAAAATGTTTGACATTTGCACAGAGGAAATTTTTTCTTTCGAAAAATTGCCAATGGCCCAAGGCAGCGTGAGAATCAGCGCCATTTTGTTCACTTGCCAGAGATGTTATTTATTGACAAGGTTCCTAGAGTTAATAATAGTTTGCTTGGTAATGGGTAACCTAATGACGAATCTAGGGTGCTTTGGATATTTTCATTATATCGTGGCACCCCAGATGACGTCATAAAGTTATTAAGCAACCTACCTCTTTCAAACAACATTCATTTATTGAAAAATTTGTCTACGGAGCCATTACCTATAAAAAATTCAGGGGAGGGGGTGTGTATGCCCTATGCCGTATGTCAAATTTATTTTGCCCTATCACAAATTTGACTGTAGCTACGGCCTTGAGCTATAGGTACTCATAGAGAAGAAATAGAAAACCGTTATGGATAACGATGATACCCATATAAAATCCAAGAATAATTTAGTTACTTACCATTATGAATATTATCCAGTAAATGAAGAGCTCGCTTACTGGATAGTCTAGGTAAGTGACTGACGAACGTAGGATAAAACTAAAAATACAGATTCAATGAAATTCCTACTAATTTATAATAAAACACATTTACCTCATCAAAGTGCATAACAGACTTATGACCGCCACCAATGTCTAATGAAAATTTGATAGATTTGCACCAAAATGGATCTTTTTTTGTTAATAGTTCTATCAAATGGCGTTTGAGACTTGAAAAAGCCGGAGGAATCAGTTCGAATATTCTTAAAAATTTTATAAGAACCTGAAATTTGTATTATACAGTTTCAACAGTAGTATAAATTATCTCAAAGTTTACTTTTGCAAGACCTCCAAATTGTATACCCAAAAGTATAACTGGATAATCCATACGTCTTAGAATAGGGGCGGTACCCCACGATATTAGTAGCTTCACTTTCCGATTGTACTCCGGTTTTTCAGACATCAAGGCATGAATCGTATGTCCTCCTTCAGAATGTCCAATTACAATAATTTTTTCTTGTCTGGTACAATTCAAAACATAATCGATTGTAGCTGCCAAATCGTATATTCCTATTTCATGGAAACTATGCGACCAATAGGCAGAATCCTTATTCCAGTCTAATTTCACGTGCTTTTTCTCAAAAGGAGTTTCACCGCCTCTAGATGAAAACAGCCATACGTCCATTCCTCGATCAGCTAAATAATAGGCAGACGACCTTTTTTTGCCTAAAAGTAGAAAATAGTGGGGCGTACCACCCATTCCATGGACTATCAAAATTGCACTCTTATTCTTGTTGTCGGATTGTTGTTTTTGTATACGATAAGCTGCAAGAATATATCCATCTTCGGTTATTATTTGATGAACTTCTATTGGATATCCATGTCTTACAACTAGTTCTTCCTATAATAAAATTTTTAAGCTAATTTTCAAGCAATATCAATGATACACTTACAAGCCTTAAATCATAATCTGGTATATTTTCAAATGTATTATTAGTGCAAACCACTGAAGATATGAAAGTAAGTAAGCAAGTTAGCGTAATTGTATCCAACATGTTTTTGAAAAGACAAAACCGATTATATAAAGTAGATATACAATGAATAAAATTGCCTGGTACCTAGTAATTATTGGTACAAGTTTTGGTACCTAAGTACACGTTTTGTGTTGTTGTTGCTGAGCGACAATAAAAAAAATACTTTTACATTTTCCGGGAAGATTACCAAATGATTACTCGTAGACAAATGTTGACCTATGTCCAGAGGAAGAAAACCTTTTGACAACCAAGCAGCCAAACTCCAGTTTGATTATAAAATTTGGGGGTTTTAATTTTTGAAAAAATTGATTTTTGTATCAATGATAAAAATCTAGTTTCAGTGTGTCAGATTGACGTATGGTATTCTTCATCGTATGCATACGTCAAAGACGGAGCATCTTGGAACTGCTGAAGATAAAGTATCTTGAATAGGAAACCTCCCAGTAAACACAATTACATGAAGTTAAAGTGGAAATTTACTTCACCTAATTATATAATTTCTAAATTTACAGATGAGGTCCTTAGTGTTTAAGATAAAGTAGAGATAATGGGTTTAGGAAAAAGTCTTTCACAGGCTACAAACAAAATTAGTCTTAAAATGTATGGCAAGACATGAAAGAAAACATATTCCATATTGTTTTCCCTGCACATTCCCATCATAGAAAAGCATTTTCATTGAATATTATCCTTCGTTGAAGGTGGAACATTGCGAAATAGATCTTGAATGCTTAAACTAGAAGAGAAAGTTCGAGCATTGTCTCTCACTCATTAAATATACGAAGCCAATAAAATACACAATTAAATCTAAAACTCTTTATTATTATAATCAGATGGAACTTTAACTCGAGGAGGAATAATACCATCATCAATTTTCTTAATCATCTGATACGTGGGTCTGTAAACCAATTCAGTAGCATAGTAACCAAAAATATAATCCGTATGAGAAAACTTTTGAAATGGTATTTTGTATAGGAAAATCGGATTGGGTAGTTTCGGAATAGATTCGTAGATGTCCTAGAATTGGATTCGTTTCATAAATAATCAAAATAGTGCATGAGTACCTGCTTACATCCAAAGTTACAAGTCCGTCTTGTTCACTGGAAAAATGAGCAATAGGAACTGTCACAGCTGATAGATTATAATGAGGAGGATCTAATCGGCCGTACCGTTTGAGGTTACCTTTTGGACCGAAATCGTATTTTCTGAAAGTACCTAAAGAGAATTGATATGTTTGGGTGTTTGTTATATTGGGTGACTTACCATTTACCCCATTATCCAAAAAATGAAGAAGTTGCCTAGTGGACAGTCTCGGTATGTTGCTCATGATTAGAGGATAGTACTAGAAATATAAATTGGATAATCTTAATTTTTTTTTTACAAAATTTGCTCACCTCGTCACGGGTCATCACAGAATTGTGACTACCGACAATGGCAAAGGTATACTTGATAAACTTAAACCAAAATGGATCTTTTACCAAACATATATCAATCAAAGTAGATTTGACGTTTGATGTAGCAAGCCCAGGAAGAAATTCGGCCCTTCCAATGTATCTGAATATAGCCTGAAATTCGTACAATAACAACAATTGTCGTAAATATTTAACCAAAAACTGACTTTCCAAATAGCATGAAATTGCGTAGCAAAAATCAAAAATGGATAATCCAAGCGTCCTAATATAGCAGCACTACCCCACCCAATGGCTAGCTTAATTTTTTGATTGTACTCAGGTTTTTCGGACAGCAAAGCATAATACTCAGTACCTCCTGCAGAATGTCCAATCAGCGTAACTTTTTCTTGTCCAGTGCAATTCAAAATAAAATCGATTGTGGCTGCCATATCGTATATGCCCAACTCGTGAAAACTATGCGACCAAAACTCGGGATCCTTATCCCAATCTAGTTGTATGTGCTTTTTAAAAGGAGTATCAATAGCTCTAGATGAAAATAGCCACACATCCAAACCTCTATCAGCAAAATAATAAGGAGCTGCCCTTTCTTTGCCTAATATTATAAAATTATGAGGCGAACCAGCCATTCCATGGACTATCAAAACTATGCTTTTGTTCTTGTTTTCGGGCTGTTCATTTTTCAAACCGTGGGGTATTCTATAAGCGGCAATAATATATCCATCTTCGGTGATTATTTGATGGATTTCTATTGGGTATCCATCTTTTATAACTCGTTGTTCCTTCAAAGATTTTTTTTTTTGGAATTATTTCAATCAAAAAATTAATACTTACGAGTCTTAAAGCATGTTCCGGTATATTTTCATATTTATTGGCACAAACAAACAAAGTGGTTGTGAGAAAAATAATTAGAGGAACTGCATACATTGTACGAAAATGTTTAGAAACAATTACACCAAAACTTTGAGCTCAGTTTAGGTACAATTGAACGGAAAAATGGCATTAATTGATTATGTATAAGCAATTTCGATGCATGTATTTTACAATTATGATTATTATTGTAGTAGATGTTTTAAAGAAATTACAAGCACGATGAATGTATAGTAAATATATTTTATTGACTCATTTTCACATGGTAAAATTCACGTTTTAATGGCCAATTATTCCCAGTCAGCTTTAAACTCGATAGCTGCTCCTGCTCATCAATTTTCACAATTATTTAAATCACTATTTGCTTGACAGCCTTGTTTTTGCTCGGCTCTGGGCCCATAACCTCTTGTGATTATTGTTTTAGTCAGTGGAAATAAATCAAGCCTATTTGTAACTTTCGAGATAATAACATTCTCTCCAAGAATGAACTCAAAACTCACCAACAAAGTGTAATATCTTCTCGAAATTAAAAACACTAAATGCTTCATCATTTACCACAAACAATCATTCTGATATAGAGGAGCTTTACAAGGAAGTAAGGGGGCGCAAAAACGGATTACGCCCAAGAAGTGCCACAATGCTAAAGCGTAACGATGGCTCAGTTACTGCCACCAAAGCAGAAGCATTAAACACTTAAAAATGCTTCTTTGATGAACTACTGAACAGACCGTCCCAGGAAGAACCCGAATGTAGTGTATTCCCTGCAACAGAAGAGCCAGTATCCCACCCGTACCTATATTGAATGTTGTTTGAAAAAGGTAGGTTGCCTAATAACTTTATGACGTCATCTGGGGTGCCTCGATATAATGAAAATATCCAAAGCACCCTAGATTCGTCATTAACTTACCCATTACCAAGCAACCTATTATTAACTTTAGGAACCTTGTCAATAAATAACATCTCTGGCAAGTGAACAAAATAGCACTGATTCTCACGCTGCCTTGGGCCATTGGCAATTTTCGAAAGAAAAAACTTCCTCTGTGCAAATGTCAAACATTTTGCATACGTTTAGACCAGTGTTGTCAGAGAGCAAAAATTTTTTGTACCAAAATTAAAGAAAAATTGTACCAGAGGTGTATCCGGGCCACCAGTGTTGCCAGAGGTGGTACGATTGTACCAAATTTGGTACCATTCGCTTTGAAAAAGTACGCTACTACGACGTTGGCATATTCGGTACAATTTTCCCAGTACAGTATTCATACAAAAAAAGTAGTGATGAGCGATATATCACGAACTGTGATTTAATCACTGATATCTAAAAATTACGGATCACGACCGCTACCAAAGTTCTATGAAAATCATGACGTGATTACGACAACGTAGCAAACTAATTTCTTGTCTATTAGAGTATCTTACCTTATCCACATAAACCAGCTCTGTATGGGCGGGCCTTTAGTTCCAAACTAAGGGATTTCGGCTTTTACCAGTTTAACGATACTTTTGTTATCAATTTTTTAAATATTTAAGTGGGTACTACTTTATCAAATATTTACTTTGTTTCGTTTTCATCGTGATTTGATAATTTTGCGTTCTAAATGGCATCCTACTTTATCTCACCCATTTGGGGTTTTTGCAAACGTATACTACTTTATTGTTGTCTTTGTCTTACTCACATATAATTAACAATTAAACATTTTTTCATTAAAATTAAACTAAAAACAAGTTTCCAAGACCTTATTTGGGAAATTTATTGTTTTATAATCGTTATTATTTAATTATTCAACAGGTTTTAATTAAATTAAACCATTTAAAATGTCATTAATGTCATGCGGCAACGTCGCTTTTAGTCGGCCATTTTGCAGTAACGTGTTTACGTTTTTATCCAGTTTTTCCTTGGATTTTCCATTTTTTCAGGGCGTTTTATGTCGGAAAAACTGGTTTAAAGTACGAGTCTTTGAGTTTTTGTTTATTTTGTGCAAAAAATTTCCAGTTTTCCAATAGGGTAAGTGACAATAACTCAAGTCTCATCAAGTAGGTGCTGGAATGTTCTTTTTAGAGGGTTTTCTTTGGATTTTAAATTAGGAAAAACGGATTTTAAATATGAGGTTTTAAGTTTTTTTCCATTTTGTAGCAAAAATTTCCAGTTTTCCAATGGAGTAAGTGACTAAAACTTAAGTTTCATCAAGTAGGCTTTGGAATGTCCTTTTCAGAGGTTTCAACCGTTTTTTTAGGGCTTTTTCGGTCGGGAAAACCGATTTTAAATACGAGGTTTTCTTCATTTTCTAGCACAAATTTATATTTTTAAATGCAATAATTAGGAAAATCCTATTTAAATGCTTTATCTGGAAGTTTTGATGTGGCAACATCGTTTGTAGCCAACTTCAATCATGTAAACCTTGTAATAAATGTCATTTGTCAATTTGGAAAGTCGACCATTTTGAGTGTTTTTATCCATATTTTTCCTCGAAATTTCCGCTTTTCCAATCCGTTTTAAAACGGAAAAAATGGTTTAAAGTACGAGGCTTTGAGTTTCCTTCATTTTGTGCCAAAAATTTTCAGTTTTCCAATAGGGTAAGTAACAAAAACTCAAATTTCATCAAGTAAGCTTCTCAGAGGCTTTTCTTTGGATTTTCCGGTTTTCCAGGCCGGGAAAAACGATTTAAAGTACGAGGCTTTGAATTTCCTTCATTTTCAGCCAAAAATTTTCAGTTTTAAATTAAAATTAAGAACGCGAAAAAAAAATCAGTAAAAAACAGGGAATTTATATTTTTTTTTTTCAGGTGGTAACACTGCTTTGTAGCCAACTTTTCTCGGGTTCCAATCCAGTAGGTCTTGGAATGTTATTTCTAAAGTGATATTTGAGGGAGAAGTATGGTCACCCTCACCCTATTATAGGTTGGTAAATTTTTACTGAATCTGGTACAATTTATCTTTAATTTTGATACAAAAAATTTTTGCTCTCTGGCAACACTGCGGGCCACTCGGCCAGGGAGGACACGCTGATTCCTTCAGTGTAGCGCACGTACGGTCCAGAACATCTAAGGGCATCACAGACCTGTAATATTTATGATAGGTATTGAAATCAGTTGACAATGAACGGATTCATAAAACTCCGGCACTTGGGGCTCGTATAACCTCGACCCTTCGGACTCGTAAAGTAATTAAAACAACACCAGCCATTCAGGCTGGAGATTTGAAAAAAACATATGGCAATACTGCTTATGATACAACAAACGTTAAAAAATTGACGTTTCAAAGTAGGCCTTGTTTTCTTTAAAACTCGATACAAAATGGCGTTTCTTTGTTGCCCTGTGTGCTCAAGATTGAACACACTCTCGCCCTTCGGGCTTATGATTAAAAAAAACGCCATTTCAATCCTCTAGCGTTACAGTGTTGCCAAAAGTTGAAAATTTCAATCAGCCTACAACATCATAACAATCGTTTCTTGATATCAATTGCCACTTGTCAAAGTTTTCCATTTACAATTACAAATGCTCCAAAATTACCGTTAAAATGTGGCAACGTTGCTGTTGTAGGCCTCAATCTGAATCACTAGGCTGTCAAAAAAAGTCATAACAATCGTGGGTGGTCCTGAAAATTAACCTCGTCAATTGTCAAAAGTCATAATATTGTAGGCTTGTCAGTTGTCAAAAAAAAATTGAGTAATTATTCCAAGTGTTTGAACCGTGAATAATCGAAAATTTACTCTGATGATAATTTGGCTCGACCAACTAATCATTTAAATTATGTCCTACTCTATCTCGCTCTTTGTCTTACTCATTTATAATCGCTTGTGGTTCTTTACTAATGTATCCTATCTACTTTATCTTCTTCTTTGTTTTACTCACTAAAATCTGGAAAAACATTATGTTTGAGATTGTAATTATGGCAATTCAGTTTCTCCTCGAATTTTCCACTTTTCCAGGCCGGTTTCGACCGGGAAAACTGTTAATTTTATGCGAGCCCGAAGGGCCGGAATTCTACGCGAACCCGAAGGGCCGGAGTTATATGAGAGCCCGAAGGGCCGGAGTTATATGCGAGCCCGAAAAGCCGGAGTTATACGCGAGCCCCAAAGGCTGGAGTTATTTCAATCACGGGGCCCAGTTTATAATTCTATTGGTCAGCGGATAATTTGAAGTCAATCAAAAACCGAGAATATTCGAAATGCGATTTTTAGCGCCCAATCAAAGAGCCGGGAATATTCAATAACTTTAGTTTTATCAAGTTGACTTTGGAATTTTGGTTTTCTATTGGGTTTTCTTAAGATTTTTACTTTTTTCAGAAAACGGTGGTTTTTGCAAACATATACTAGGTACTTTATCGTTGTCTTTGTCTTACTCACTACTATCAACAAGTAAACCTTGTAATGTCATTTTCATTGAAATTAAACTGAAAACACGTTTCCGATGCTTTATCTAGCATTATTTACCACTTTTTAATTGAATTTTAAACAAAAAACTCATTTAAAATGTTATTTTTGTTTTCCGAGATGTAATGTGGCAATGTTGCTTTTAGTCGGCCATTTTCAAGTGACGTCTTGTGATTTTTTGCCAGTTTTTCCTCGAATTTTCGACTTTTCCGGAGATTTTAATGGAAAAAAGCGTTCTAACATACGAGGCTTTGAGTTTTCTTCATTTTCTAGCAAAAATTTCCACTTTTAAATGCCATAATTAGCAAAATCCCATTGAAAATGCTTTTGATGTGGCAACACCGCTTGTCGCTAACTTCAATCAAGGAGGCCTTGTATAATAAATATCATTTGTTATTTTTGACAGTCGGCCATTTTCATTTGACGTGTTTACATTTTTATCCAGTTTTTCCTCGAATTTTCCGGGCTGTTTTTGAACGGAAAAATCGATTTAAACTTCGAGGCTTTGAGTTTCCTTCATTTTGTATTAGAAATTTCGAGTTTTTTAACGGGGTAAGTAAGAAAAACTTAAATTTCATTAAGTAGGCTTTAGAATGTCATTTTTCAATGTTTTTTTTTTTAGATTTTTCACTTTTCCGATCAGAAAAACCGATTTAAAGTACGAGGCTTTGAGTTTTCTTTATTTTCTGCCGTAAACCTAAACTAAACACCAACTACTTCAACGAAAAACCACAAAACGAGTGTTACGTGTTACATTGGTGACGTCATCTATTTACGACGTTTCTGGAAACACATATCCACACACTACTCGATTTCAATTTATTTCATTGTCTACTCTTTCAAATTTCCTAAGGAAACCTTAACGCATGTTGCGTTTTAAAGGTAGGGCATCATCATTTTAAAGATAGGGCATTGCCCCCCAATGCCTCTCCCCCTGGCTACGGCCCTGATCTATAATCAGTACAAGATATAAAATTTCCTGAACCATTTACTTAGAAGAAATGATAGCATATCGAACCTCTTTCAACTACCACAAAGTAACCTAATAAAACAGACAAAAATTAATTCTAAAATTATTTATTAATAATCAGATGGTACTTTAACACGTGGAAAAACAACGCCATTATCAATTTTCCGAATCAACTGCAACGTCGGCTCATAAACCAATTCTGTGGCATTGTAACCGAAAATATAATCCGTATGAGTGAACCTATGAAATGGTATTCTGTGTAGGAACATGGGATTGGGTAACCTCCGAATAGATTCGCAGACGTCCTAGAATTGATTAATTTTTCAATTTATTGAAATATCTATAATGTACATACCGCTAAAGATATTTCGCCATCAAGACCACTATTAAAGAAGGCAGCAGGAGCAGTAATAGCTGATATATTGTAATGAGGTGGTTCTTTTTGGCCGTACCGTTTGAGGTTACCTTTAGGACCATAATCGTATTTCTTGAAAGTACCTGAGAAGGAAATTTCCAATCCATTATACTTTAGAAGATCTTTTTATATGAACTAAATTACCAGTTTTAACATTATCCAAAAAATGAAGAAGTTGCCTACCAGACATTCTCGGTATGTTGCTGATAATTATAGGATTATACTTAAAACAAAGATTAGTTTTTAAGAAATCTCAGTTATTCTTTGCTTACCTCATCATACCGGGCCAATATAGAATTGTGACTACCAATACCGGCTAAGCTAAATTTAAGAACGTTATACCATAATGGGTGTCTTTGCAAATAATAATCAATCATAGAGGACTTAGTATCTGCAATGAATCCGGGAAGCACTTCGTGTCTTGCAAATAAACTAAATAAAAACTGAAATTTATGCATTATTTTACGTCATTATCATTTTAGTGAAAACTGACTTTTATAAAATCGTCTAAATATATACCAAGAAGCATCACTGGATAATCCATACGGTGCAATATAGGAGCAGCACCCCAGCCGATTGTTACCTTAACTTTCTGATTGTACTCAGGTCTATCGGCCAACAAAACATAAAACTCAGTACCTCCTGCAGAATGCCCAATTAGAGTAACTTTTTCTTGCCCAGTACAATTCAAAATATAATCAATTGTAGCTGCCACATCGTATATTCCTATTTCATGAAAACTGTGCGCCCAAAACTCGGGATCTTTATCCCAATCTAGTTCTATGTGCTTTTTGAAAGGAGTTTCACTAGCTCTAGCTGCAAATAGCCACACGTCTATGCCTCTATCAGCGAAATAATAAGGTGCTGCCCTTTCTTTGCCTAAAACAAGAAAATTATGTGGCGCACCACCCATTCCATGGACTATTAAAACTGCGCTTTTATTCCTGTTTTCGGGTTCTTCTTTTTTTACACCATGAGGTATTCTATAGGCTCCAAGAATATATCCATCTTCGGTTATTATTTGATGAATTTCTACTGGGTATCCATGTTTTTCAATTCGTTCTTCCTTTAAAGACGATTGAATTTTATTTCAAGCAAAAAAAAAAATAGTTCTTACCAGCTTCAAAGCATAATCTGGTATGTTTTCATATTTGTTACTATACACCAAAGGCACAAGAGTAAGTAGGAGAATTAGCGTGACTGCATGCATTTTCTCGGCACAAAAATGTTTTGAACAATACACCAAAACTTGCATAACAATTCTACGTACTTGTAAATGTATTAGGCTGTCATCATTCTTGATAATTGTTTTAGATATTTTAATTGAATTACAAGGGAAACCGAATTAAATAAAACCTTGCACCTTGCTTTTTTGGGAGTTAATTTTGTAGCTCACGGATTAATGGACTCAATTTTGACCCATGTCATTAATGATTACGGTTTTATTATACATATTTTGGTAAATAGTTGTAATTGGTCTTCAATTATATAGGTAAATGAAGTTTAGTTATTTTGTACAGATGCCTGTCATCTATAAGTGCATAATCTTGGATCTCTATTTTCCTTTTTCATAATTTGTATTATTGGACTAACGGTGAGTGATCATTAAATCGACACTTACAGCTAGTGAATACTTTATTGGATAACAAATTAGGAAACACAATAAGTTACTTGCGGCAAGAAAATCCACCACGAAGATCTAAGATAAAGTTCTGGAGTCCTGTTGAGGGTATGAAAAGTACTTGAAACCTACAGAATTTATTGAGGAGGGTCTATTTATTGAACAGATCTGAGGCTCACAAATGGAAAATTAACTTTGGAAGCTTCTGAAAAATACTTCAAGTAATTAGAGGGACTTCAAACTCCCAAGATTTATTAAGTAGGGTCTTTTTGTCAAAAAAACCAAATGGCGAATGGATCTGAGGCTCAGAAATAGAATGATGATTTTTTTTCTGACTTAGATGCAAAAATATTATGGAAAATTTCTATTAAATCACCTTTGAAAGCTTCTGAAAAATACTTCAAGCAATTAGAGGAACTTAAAACTTTTAGGTTTTATTGAGTAAAGTCTTTCTATCAAGCAGAACAAACCGCGAATAGATCTCAGGTTCGGAAATGAAATTATGAATTTTTTTTCACTTAGATGCAATAAATTCGTGTAAAATTTCCATTAAATCACCTTTGGACAAAAAATGCAAATATCACTTTAAATTTTTTACAGGCCCTAAACCTTCGAAAAGAAAAATCACCACTAAATTTGACACCCTCTTACTATACAATTACTTAGTAAACATAGGCGCAACTAGGGGGATCCTTAGGGGTGCTAAGCAGTGGCGGCTCGTGACTATTTCAAGTGAGGAGGCTAAAAAATATAGTAAAAGTAGGTATTAAAATCAATTGACAAAGAACGGGTTCGTATAATTCCGGCCCTTCGGGCTTGTATAACCTCGGACCTTCGGGCTCATGATTAAAATAACTCCGGTCTGTCGGGCTCGTATAACTCCGGCCCTTCGGGTTCGCATGACTCCGGCCCTTCGGACTCGTATAACATCGGCCCTTTGAACTCATAATTGAGATAACCTCAGCCTTCCAGATTCGAGATTTGAAAAAAAACATATGGCAACACTGCTTATAATACAACAAAAGTCAAAAAATTGGCCGGTTCCCTGTTTGGCTACTTCCTACGTATTCGCCGAGGCTAAATCTATATGCCCATGTGGGTTTTTTTTTAATTTTGACAACTGTCAATGTCTAAAATTTTTACCTTTTCTTTTTCTCAAAAAACAAATGTCAGAAAACGATCCCCAGGCTCCGAAAACCCTAAAATAAAAAGTTTCATCGATATATGTCAAAAACCAACACCCTGGCAAGGCCGAACGTCTTTTTTGACATATGTTAAAAAAAAATTGGTACTTTCTACGTATTCGCCGAGGCTAAATCTATATGCCCATGTGGATTTTTTTCAAATTTTGACAGCTGTCAATCTCAAAAAAACATTCTTTTGTTTTTTCCAAAAAACAAAGGAAAACAAGTCGTTTTTTAGTGGGTTTTAGGGTGAGATTTATGTAGCAACACTTATATGAAAATTCAATGAATTCATTTGTAACAACAGTTGGTACAAAAAATTAGGTTTCCCGTCGGGTTTGGAATTCGAATTTTTGAATTTTCCCGGCTCCTGATTGGTTTGGGGATTCGAATTTTGATTATTACCAGCTCTTGATTGGCTTTAAATTTTGAATATTCCCGGTTCTTGATTGGCTTTAAAATAACCTATAATCTCGGCCCTTCGAGCTCGTGATTTGAAAAAAAACATATGGCAACACTGCTCATGATACAACAACGTCAAAAAATTGAAATTTCAAAGTAGACCTTGATTTTTTTGACAATCGATATAAAATGACGTCTTTTTGTTTCAAACATAACGGCCCGAAGGGCCGGAGTATTAAAATCAGTTGACGATGAACGGGTTCGTTCGGATAAAACTTTTGTCGCACGACACTTTGGCGATATCGACAGATGTCACCTGTCAAACTTGACACATGTTCGACTTTTTCCCCGCTCTACTATAAAAGCTACGAAAATCAAACCCCGATGATTATAATAATTAAAATTTCCCAAATAAATCATAGGAAACATGTTTTTAGTTTAATTTCAATGAAAATTACATTATAAGGTTTAGTTATTGATTATAATGAGTAAGACAAAGACAACGATAAAGTAGTATAAGTTTACAAAAGCACCGTTTTCTGAAAAAAGTAAAAATATCAAGAAAACCCCAACATTCCAAAGTCAATTTGATGAAACTGAAGTTTTTGAATATTCCCGACGCTAAAAATCGCATTTCAAATACTCCCGGTTTTTAATTGACTTCAAATTATTCGCTGACCAATAGAATTATAGATTGAGCCTCGTGATTTAAATAACTTTGGCCCTTCGGGCTCACGTATAATTCCGGCCCTTCGAGCACGCGTATAACTCGGGCCCTTCGAGCTCGTATCACTCCAGCCCTTTAAGCTCGCATACAGTGTGTCCCAGATTCGCTTCTCTATACAGGGATCTCGACTCCTATTATACCCACAGCAAAGGTTAAATGGGGAAAGTTCTAGAGAAAGCTAAGAGAATTCGATAATCGGCTCCAGATTAACGATCGCCCAATTAGATTTGGAAATATCGGCTAAAAACCGAAAATTACGGATTTCGTTTTTTGCCAGTTAATCCGAAACGGTTGATTTGACAGCTGTCAAAATATGACATTATTCAGACACTTTTTTAAGACCATTGAGATAGCATGTATGACATGTCTCAATCGTCTTTTGTTATTTCGCAACTTGCCTCAACTTTTATTTTTATTATGGCCGCCATATTGGATTTTTCGATTTTTGGAAAAAGCATAGAATTTCCAGTCTAGTGATGTATCACAAGTGGATAAAAGATTTGAGTATCATCGAGAAATCAAATTTCGTTAAGTTAATATCTGGCCAACGATTCTGAAACTAACGGGGCATCGGTAAAGGAAATCCAGTTGTAGAAAAATGGCTGTCGGCTGATTTCATTCATAAAATACCTACCCAGCTGCGTGCGGAACTTTTTGGAAGTATAATATCCATCGCCACTGGATATTTCAAAGCAAGTCGATATTTCAAGATGCAAGGATAAAGTTACGGGAACCCTGACCAGCCAATAGCGAGACGTAAGCCCCATGGCAACCGCATGGTTCCGTGGCAACGGCGATCGTGCCAAAAACTCCACCAATCACGTTCATCCAGGCCGGATGTTTGCCAAATTGACAAAAGCTGATGGTATGTTTAGAAAATGTTTACTTTTAATAATAGACAAAATTAGATGTTTTTGTATAGGATAAAATAATTCATAGTGTCAAAGTTGTCTATTAATAATAGTAAGTTCTCTTCCATTAAAATCATGAACCTGGACACAGAAATTGTCGAAACCTGTTGAAAATGGCGGTATTCCTTATTCAAATGAAGAAAGGTTTGACTTGTTAGCGCTGTAATTGCAGTCACTCAGAAACGCCGACATTATTTCAGCAAGGTATTTGGAGATGTACCCTGAACGAGGGCAGCCTCATAAAACGTAATTCACAGAAATCGTAGTTAATTTAGCGGATAAAATATTGATAATGAAAATCGTGACAGAAACATTTCACTAGCTGTCAACGAAAATCCTAGTGCATCGGTAAGAACTGTAGAACGTGAAATTGGTGTGCCAAAATCAACGGTACAGAGAGTAAAAAAGTTTTTTCCAAGATATAATGCCGTGGTCTAGTAATACTCATTCCGTCTACTGCTGCGGTAGTCATCTTCAAAGGCGGTGTAGTAGCGGAAGAAGTGTTCTCATCCGTGTTCCTCCGATGACTGCCATCTTGAAATATCGACTCACATTGAAATATCTAATGGCGGTGATTTGGTCAGTGTCGATTTTCGTGTACGATATACTTCCAAAAAGTTCCGCATGCACCTGGGTAGGTATTTTATGGAGGAAATCAGCCGACAGCCATTTTTTTTACAACTTGATTTCCCTTACTCCGTAGCTTCATAATCGTTGGCCAGACATTAACTTTACGAAGTGTAAGTTTTCGGTGACACTCAAATCTTTTATCCACTTGTGACACATCACTAGACTGGAAATTCTATGCTTTTTCCAAAAATCGAAAAATTCAATATGGCGGCCATAAGAAAAATGGAAGTTGAGGCGGGTTGCGGGATAACAAAAGACGATTGAGACCTGTCATGCACGCTATCTCATTAGTCTTAAAAAAGTGTCTGAATAATGTCACAATTTCACAGTTGTCAAATTAACCGTTTCGGGTTAACTGGCAAAAAACGAAATCCGCCATTTTCGGCTTTCCGCCGATATTTCCAACTCTAATTGAGCGATCGTGAATCTGAAGCCGATTATCGAATGCACTTAGCTTCCTCTAGAACTTTCACCATTTAACCTTTGCTGTGGGTATAATAGGAGTCGAGATCCCTATATAGAGAAGCGAATCTGGGACACACTGTATAATTCCGGTCCTTCGGGCTCGTATTACTGAGTATCCCAGATTCACAGATTTTTGTCGTGGAGGCGCGGGATTGATTGAAATAATGTTGTCAGATTTTTCTAAATTACATTGAAATATCGAAATTTGTGAATTATCATTTCAATTATGAATCAGGAATGAAAAACTGAGATTGAATTTTCAATTTTTTGGGAAAGGCTTAGCCTCGCCTGCCTCCTCTGACGAGCCGCCACTGGTGCTAAGCATCCATAAAGCAAAAATTAGCACTCCCATTCGGCATCCCACCATAGCACTACCTACAGTGGCACTACCTAACACTAATATAAAAAATTAGTGCAACCAAATTATTTATTTTTTTTGCACTTTTTGTACTTACTTACGTAATCGATGACGTCATAATTTAGAAAAAAGTATTCGTCGTTGATTAATTCATAGAGCACGTTCGCAATTATTATTGTTATGGAATAAAAATTTCCAACCGGGGCCGGTATTACAATATTACCTTAAAATCAAAACTTACCCTTAAATATACGGTTTTTATGTTCTATTTACGATGACGTCATCGAACAAGATCAGACAATGTTGTCAATGTCTATGTTTATTCTATATCTTAAGGTGACATTGAAATAATAGACACTTTAAATTGGACCAAACACGTTAACGTAATCTTTAAATGTAAACCCCGTTTTTTTACTATAGCGTTGAGTGACCGTCGGTGCTCAAAAATCAGTTTATGTTAAATTTTCACGTAAACGTTAACGTTATATCTTATTTCTCACAATCATGACCTAACTTCTAAATTTTGTTGTGAAAAGGACAAATTAGAAATTATTTTTTGTATTTTGATTATTTTGAATTACGTCACACCTTTTTTTTTAAAGTTAAAATACATTCGGCAAAGGTGTACAGGTAAATGTATCACATTTCCCTATCAAATAGGATTGAAAAGTGATAAATTTTACCTGTACCTGTGGACATCGGATTGTGAATGGATGATAGTTTTCGAGATACAAGTACTTTAATGTCCAAGAAATGCACAAACTTTATATACATTGTGTGCTGAATCCCAAATATCTTCTTGAATTTTTATTTTAACTGAAATTTTGAATAAATTTTAATTTTTACGTCAATATTGATAAAAAAATATCTCCGCACAATTCTCCGCAAAAACCGAATCTCCGCACAATTCTCCGCAAACCCCAAAATTCTCCGAAAAACGGAGAAGTCTCCGCCGATTGGCAACACTGTTGGAAGGATTAGTGCGCACTGAATGTATTCGTGTCTTTTTCTACCAGCTTATATAAGAAAGAGATAAAAATACATTTTTTTTTTGCACTAGTAGAGTGGGGTATGAGAGACCAATGGAATTCGCTAATAGTTAAATCGAATATTTTCAAAGAAAAAGTGGTGGATTTTTACAGCACGTGTTTAGTAGGTATCTGGAAGAATGGAAAGGCTATTTTGAGGGAATCGAACACTTTAATAATTGGATTATAATAAACTTGAAAAATTATTATTATGACTGATATTTTTATGTTATGTTTATTCTGTTTTATTTTTATATTGTAAAATCATATTTTGATTTTCACATACCTATCTTGTGTTTAATAAACGCAACATTTTCTGATTTCTAAAAGTTTTTTAATTACTTAGGTATACCTATAGGTTGGCCGTTGGATGAATTTTTAATAAAGATTTGTAAAATGTGGGCGTGGCTGGTAAAAACTCATATTGTCATTGTCCTGGTTTCAGATTGGAAAAATATGGTTACCTTAGCCCACTTGGTTCGACGAATGTTCACGGATAAGGTTCACGCAAAGACTCGCTAAATAACGTGACACGTAACACGCTATTTTTGATGAAAAGAAACTGCGCATGCGCAGCTGTCAAATCTTACGTTAGCGTTAACGTATTTTGTCTAACTTAAAGTGTCTATTGGCCCTTGAAAAATCATTGGAGTCCCAAATATATAAATTAATAAACTGCGTATTATACAGGGTGTTCCTAAATATCATGTACAAACGGCAAAGGGTGATTCTTTGTTTTTTTTTTATGACTGAAATCTCAAATATGTTTTAAAAAATGGACTTATTTGAGCAAAATTTAAAAAAATTCACCTCTTACATTTTAATTTTTTCCTGGAAAACTTTGAAAAGGAAAATTTTGAAAATTTTCCAGGAATAAGAAGAAAATGAGGAGCTTATTTCACGAAAATTTCAAAATTTTCCAGTGTAAAATCACTCCAGGAAAATCTTTGAAAAACTAACTTTTTTAAGCAAAATTGAGGAGAATTCACCTCTTACATTTTAATTTTTTTCTACAAATCTGGCAAAGTGAAAATTGTGAAATTTCTCTAGAAGAAAGAGAAAAATGAGGAGCTCATTATGGGAAAATTTCAAAGAAAATTGACTTATTTAGTTAGGCAAAATTAAGGAAATTCACTCTCTTAAATTTAAAAGGGAAAATTTTGAAATTTTTATAGGAGAAAGAGGAAAGTGAGGAGTTCATTAGGGGAAAATTTCAAAATTTTCCTGTGAAAAATCACTCGAGTAGAAATATATTTATATATTTTCGGATTACTGAATAAACTCTATTCTAAGTTAAAAAAATTTATGACAAAACAATAATTCCGAAGGTGCTTTATGAATTAATCTATGACTCAACTTTTTCTCTAAGTTATGACGTCATCGATGACGTAAGTAAAAACTTTCGTGCCGTGCAACGAACTATACAATTTGTTTGAAATTTCAGACATAAAAAACCTATTTTTTCTACTACTGTGCGTAAAGTACTCACTTTACGCACAGAAGAAGTAAATTTCACTTCACGCAGTAGTGCGTAAAGTAATGTCAATGACAGATGTCGACACTGTCAATTTAGTATTTTTCTGGTAAATTACTTCACGCACTAGGGCGTAAAGTGAAAATACTTCATGCACTAGTGCGTGAAGTGAAAATACTTCACGCACTAGTGCGTGAAGTATTTGGCTAAATCCATTTTTTTACACATTATTTGATTGGTAGTAGAAAAAATTTTGTATGCAATACGTGCGTAAAATCCCTTTTTCCACTCATGTGATTGTCAAAATTCACATTCGTGAAAAAAGGTTCACTTTACACACTTGTTGCATAAATAACTATTTCAAAAGAAAAGGTAAATGATGCCGTAAGTACAAACCTTCGTGAAACCAACTTCTCTTACGCGTTCTAATTTATTTTCCATCAAACCCCATCAAAAAAATGGTGCTGCAGCACTCCTCAAATTTGGAGCCTAGTTGCGCTTATGTTAGTAAAGTAAAAAATTAAAAAACCTAGAAAAATTACCTATTGAAGGTATGAAAAGTACTGGTGACGTTTGAAAGAAACAATATCGGCCTGATGAGCTTTTACCCATTTTGGCAACGTAAAAATGTCCTCTTGACTCAATAAAACAACATCAAATGTGATCAAATCTCATTAAACCTTTTAATGATAACCAGGAGGTACTTCAACACGAGGAGGAATAATACCACTATCAATTCTTTTAATCATCTGATACGTTGGCTCGTAAACCAATTCAGTAGCATTGTAACCGAAAATATAATCCGTATGAGTGAACTTTCGAAAGGGTACTTTGTAGATGTGAACTGCATTGGGGAGTTTCTGGATACATTCGTAAATGTCCTGGAATGGTAATTTTATAATTTATTACAAATATGGATAAGTAGGTACTTACTTCTATAGATAAAAAACCATCTTTTTCAGCGTCAAAGAAAGCAATAGGAGCTGTCACAGCTGATAAATTGTAATGAGGAGGATCTGCTTGGCCGTAATGTTTGAGATTTCCTTTAGGACCATAATCGTATTTTCTGAAAGTACCTAAATAGAAATCGAAATATATTTCTTTATTTTTTTAATATCTTTTTTCATTGTCTTGTAAATAATTTATTGTTTTAGCCTATTTTTTTCTCAATACTACATTTCTAGAAGTAGGTACACTTACCATTATGCACATTATCCATAAAATGAAGAAGTTCTCTCGTAGACACCCTCGGTATGTTGCTTAAAATTGTAGGAATATACTACAAGTATAGATTCAATCAATAAAATTTCTATTAAAACATGTTTACCTCATCCCGCATCATTACAGAATTGTGACTGCCGATAATATTTAAGATATACTTGACAACCTTATACCATAATGGGGGTTTTCTTAAAAATATCTCGATCAAAGTGGATTTGACTGCGCCTGGTACCATCACTTGGGCCATTCTTAAGAATTTCACTACAGTCTGAAATTTGTCTTGTATTATTGTGTTGGCTATACCTCAAAAACTTACTCTTAAAAAATCCCCAAGGTGCGTACCCAAAACCAGAAATGGATAATCCACACGTCTTAATATAGCAGAACTACCCCACGTTATCGCTAGCTTCACTTTTTGGTTGTACTCAGGTTTCTCGGACAACAAAGCAAAAAATTCAGCACCCCCTGCAGAGTGTCCAATCAGTGTAACTTTTTTTTGTCCAGTACATTTTAAAATAAAATCGATTGTAGCTGCCAAATCGTATATGCCCAGTTCATGGAAACTGTGCAACCAGAAAGCAGAATCTTTATTCCAATCTAATTTCACATGCGATTTTTTAAAAGGAATATCGCTACCTCTGCCCGAAAATAGCCAAACATCCATTCCTTGATCAGCGAAATAATAAGGAACTGCCCTTTTTTTGCCTAAAACAAGAAAATTATGGGGCGAACCACCCAGTCCATGGGCTATCAAAACCACGCTTTTATTCTTGTTTTCGGGTACTTCCTTATTTAAACCGTGAGGTATTCTATAGGCGGCAAGAATGTATCCATCTTCGGTGATGATTTGATGGACTTCTATTGGGTATCCATATTTCACTACTTGTTGTTCCTTGAGAAAATTAAACTTATGTCAAGCAAATGAAAAATATGACACTTACAAGCCTTAATGCATAATCTGGTATGTTTTGATAATTATTAGCACAAACCACCAAAGACACACAAAGTAACGTAATTCTATACATCTTGCCTAAACATGAATGCTTTTAAAAGGTACATGAAAACATTAGCATTTTTAGTAGATAGGTACCTACCTTTGTCAAATTTTAATGCAATAATTATTGTGTGGACCTTCTTATTGAATAACAAGTAAAACCAAATTAGCCTTGCAATAATTATTAGCTATTCTAGGAATGAATTTTTGCATTTTGCTATTGGTTTAACAACTACCATTTTATTAGAAATGACATCAGAAATTAACAGCTTTATTATCCGTTCACAATCCGATGTCCACAGGTAGGTACTTACAGGTAAAATCACCTTTCAATGCTATTTGATAGGGAAAGGTGATAAATTTGCCTGCACCTGTGGACATCGGATTGTGAACAGGACATACCTATAACCATAATTTTTTTTTTGAAATCCTGATACGATTATAAATAATTGCCCATATCTTTGATGCTATTTGAGCAAATTACTTTAATCATGGTTTCTATCCCAATTAAAGGACTACAATCCCTGAAAATTTCAGCTCATTTGCACTTATAGTTCCTGAGATAAAATCGTGTTAAGCAATTTGGGGTGATTTATCAATTTTTCAATTTTTCTAAGTGCCTTTTTTTATAGATTTCGGCTTCAAATCTGAGAATAATTTAGTGTATGGAGTTTGGGGTATGTTGATTGACCATTAGGATACAAAATCTCGACAAAGAAAAAATTGAAATTTCATCGTTTTAGTAAGAAGGTACCTACCTACCTTATGATTTAGATTTTGGAAAACTTTGAAAGGTCATAACTTTTTTTCTATTATAGATGGAAAGCTGAAACTTTCACTGAATTTTATCTCTTTCAAAGGACTACAATTCCTGAAAATTTCAGCTCATTTGGACCTATAGTTCCTGAGATAAAATCGTGTTAAGCAATTTGGGGTGATTTATCAATTTTTCAATTTTCTGAGTGCCTTTTTTTATAGATTTCGGCTTCAAATCTGAGAATAATTTAGTGTATAAAGTTTGGGGGATGTTGATTGACCATTATGATACAAAATCTCGACAAAAAAAAATTGAAATTTCATCGTTTTAGTAAGAAGTTACCTACCTACCTTATGATTTAGATTTTGGAAAACTTTGAAAGGTCATAACTTTTTTTTTATTATAGATAGAAAGCTGAAACTTTCACTGAATTTAGTTTGGGGGATATTGATTGACTATTAGGATACAACAACAATGATACGTACAAAATGCTATTTCGCACAGTGTTACACAATGCATTTGTTGCAACAAAGGAAAATTTAAAGTTATGGCATGAACGCCTAGAGCATATAAATAATAAGTACCTACCTACACCTACTTTCACTTGACAGAGTTGATCAAAATGAATTTAATAAAAGAAGTGAGTGTGAAGAGCACAGAAAACTTTGTATATGAGTCTTGCTTATATGGTAAGCAACATAACAAAATGAGAAACAGTGTATATGTAAAATTAGCAGCTGGAGAAATAATTTTTAGTGATCTGTGCGGACCAATGCAAACCCCATCTATGTAAGGAGGAAGATAGGTAGGTACGTTGTTAAATACTTTTAAAGACGAGCATTCAGGCTATCGAGTAGCCTATTTTATAAGACACAAATCAGATGTTTTCGAATGTTTAAAGGAATAGAAAAGACAACCGCACCATACACACCAGAGCAAAATGGGAGGTCAGAACGAGATAATAGACTGGATTGTTGAGATGGCTCGTTGTATGTTATATTAGGCAGGTATACCAAACTACTTCTGGGCAGAGGCTGTAAGTACTGCCTATACATAGCAAATAGAGTTACAGTGACACAAGCACCTGGCTCTACACCCTATGAAATGTGGCCAGGGCAGAAGTCAGTACTTGCACATATCAGAATATTTGGGTGTGATGCATGTGCATGTACCAGAATAGAAACGAAGAAAATTTGATGCAAACGGTCAAAAGTTAATGTTTGTTGGATATGATGAAAACTCAACTAGCTACAGATTATTTAATTCACAAACACAGAGAATAACTATTTCAAAAAATGTTGTTTTTAATGAGAGAATTCGAAATGTCAAACAGAATGAAGAACAGAACACCTCATTAAGAGGGGCGTTTAAATAAAATGTCATTTACAGACCTTCACAAATTTCTGTTCAATTCCAAATTTAGACCACTTCTCAGTGAAATGAAGTTATGTTAATAACAATAATAGATTGGAGTATGGTTCGGAGCATTTTTGGTTGCAAAATACGCATTCTAAAATGGTCACGGATTTAAATGAGAAAGGGATAAACACATAGAGTAGCACACCAACAATAAATTTCCAAAATTTCGGATAGTAAAATGCTGGAAAAAATGGATAGGACGGTATTTTTCGTAAATCATAATGTTTGTATCACAAAATTAATCAAAATCTGCCAAACAATGAGGTGATTGCTGTCATTTTCAGCAAAGACTCAAACCAAACGTGTGTTCAGCGCTTCTCTAAAAGATATCGCTGAGTTCGGGAAGGGTAGTCACTTTTTTTTAACGTCAGTAAAAACTGTTTTACCTAGCTAAAAATGTGAAATACTATTTCATTTGTATCTGAATAAAATTATTTAGTCCACTGTAAATTACTGTGTAAACGAATTGATATTGAAGATGTCGCCATCTACTTGTAAATAAGTCAATCACTTACAGAGAATTTGAACACCTATACAGGGTGTCTCACCGGGAACCACATCAATCTACATGTGAAAAACTGTATGCAGAAAATGTTTAAAAATTTGACACTATGACTATACCAATGTCAATGGGGGCAACTCGGCTAAAATATTTTCAAGGCGGTAACACTTTCGGTTATACCGGAAGTAGACGTCAACTTGCTTATTTTAAACGAACAGTATAAGCAAGTACAAATAAGTGAATTGTTGCGGAACTTATGGATGGACCTCTGCGGGACGAGCGCAGCGAGTTCCGCAGCCATCTAATCACCAATATACTATTGAACTGTTCAAGTAAGACATTCACCTAAAATGTGTAATTTTTAAACTAATGAGAATAACGCACATTTCAGTGAGTCAGTTTAATATCGTAATTAAACAACATACTGATAAATAGATGGCTACGGAACTCGCTGCGCTCGTCCCGCAGAGGTCCACCCATAAGTTCCGCAACAATCCACTCGTTTCTACTTGAATAACTTGTCACATAAGGTTACTAGTTTGGTAAAGTAACATTACTAATTTCTGTTGAAAGGCAAATTGACAAAAAGTGAATAATCATAATCTTACAAATTTTGACCTTATATGTACAGTGACCGCCAAAAAGTTTGCAACAAATGGAAATTTTGACCCTACCAATCGATAGAGCAAGTCCAGAATAGTCAAAAACGACTCACACATCATTACGAAATGACAATTTCAAATGAAAAAAAGATCCAGAAGAAAATCTCTGAAAATATTTTGACATAGTGATGAATTTTTGCTTATAAGTTCGTTAATATTCAATGAAACTGATTTAATTTTAAATCGTTTGACAAAGCAATAAATCCTTCATAAACTGTCCTGAAATAGTTTCTCTAGCTCTCAGTCTTTGAACTGTCGAACACTAAAGTTGAATTTTAGGCAGAATTTTATCAAAAACTAATTTTCTCAATTATCATCGGCCTAAGCATAATAATCGACAAAGAACTGAGAGAGGAAAATTTCGAAAAAAAAAATAGAGATTGGCAATCTTCCCTCAGAAAAGGAAATATGAATTCAATTTCCAGTTATATTGCATTCGAAAGTTTCTAGAAAAATAATGTCAAGCGATCAAACTTGATTAAAATTTCAATAATAGAGTAGGTATAGACAAAAACTTGTTTGGTTCTTTGAGTTGGATTTCTAGAAGAAAATAAAAAATTTTGAATTATAATTTTAAAAAAGTTATGGATTTTAGCTGAGTCCTGAAAATTTACAATTGAATCAAAACGTTGACTTGGTGGGTCAATCTTATAATTTGTTGTTAAAAATCATCCAAAACAAAACATTACTAAATGCCCGTATTACATCTGTGTATTTCTCCGTGTATTTATTCATGTAGTTTAAGGTGACAACCTAAAAACTTCAAACGCAACATAAATCAGCATTATGAAAAACAAAATAATGTTGGCACCCTGAACTACATGAATAAATACACGGAGAAATACACAGATGTAATACGGGCATAAGGGATTATATACACAAAATAAACCAAAAATTTAAACATAAAACATTAATTTTTTATTATATTCTCATTTAAGTACCTATTTATTATCAATTACTAATTGTTGTCTTTATTCAATAACTATTATTGTACATGTCCGCTCTCTTCTTTTTCCTTCTAACAATTTTCTTAGGAACAATTCCTGCATCGTAATCCTGGAATAACTTCACAGTGGGCTCGTACACCATCTGAGTAGCATTTCTGGCAAACAGAAAGTCCAAATGTACAAATTTCGGACCAACCTCGTAGTCCAAAATCGTATTCGAGACTAAACCTTGAAGCATTTGAGTGTCCTGAAATAAAACTTTACAAATTGAGGTTTTATTGTTGGGCTGATTATTACCGGCTTGGTGCTAAGCGTGTCGGTTTTTCCATAGAAAAAAGCTTGAGGACTGTTAATGGCACTTAAATTATAACGAGGTGGCAGTCTTGTTCCATAAACTTGCATATTTTTGTCTGGACCGTAATCGAATTTGCGGAAATCACCTTTTAAATAATTTTTATAGATGTTTTTTTTTTTTTTTTTAATTAAATAATAATTGACAGTTTTACCTCTATTTAAATTGTCCGCAAAATGTCCGACTTGTTTTATGGGCAGTCTTGGAAAGTAACTAACAGCCAAGTCCACAACATCCTAAAAAAATTGATAGAATGTAGACAAAGCTGTAGTAGAAGTATAGAATTGTAGAAGAAATCACTTACATCTTCTATAAGTGTAGAAACGTGTGAACCGAAAGTCCACAAAGTCACTTTGCAAGTCCTAAACCATTTCGGATCTGCGCACATTTTCCTGAACGTATCGCCAAGCATGTCGGACATGAATCCGGGCATTAGCTCGTACATACCTAAATTTTTCCAAACATTCTAGAGGCAGAGATAGTTTCAGTTTCTTTACAAAACATCAAAAAATTTACCTTTAAAACACCTGAAAACTGGGCAATTGCCTGGACAAACGGATAGTCCACCTCGTAAGTGATAACACCGCCTGCATAATTTGCGATTATTTTGATTTTGTCGTTGTATTCCGGTTTTTCGGATAGAAGGGCGTAGACTATAGATCCTCCGGAAGAATGGACTACGTTGAAGATTTTCTTTTGGCCTGTCACGTTTAGGATTAGGTCTATGCTCGCTGGGAGGTCGTAGACTCCAACTTCGTGAAAACTTAAAGGAAAATCGGAATTATTCTTGGATATTTTAAACATTTTATGGTATCTGGAAAACTATTAACTTTATGTATTAGAGTTTGTTGTGATTGGGTGAAATAAAAATAGGGTTTGAATTATAATTATATAAATTCAAGTTTTGACTATTCCCGGCTCTCAACTTGCAAAATCTAAATTAACAAAAATACACCCTCTTATAGTATACATTTTAATTTTTTCCTGGAAAACTACTGAATGAAAAATTATGAAACTTTCAGCAAAAAAAAAGGCAAGTTATAGAGGCTCATCAAACTAAAATTTCAAACTTTTCCAGTAAAGAATAACAAAATGGGAAATTAAGAAAAATTAACTTGCAAAATCTGAATTAGGTAAAATCGACGGGTAAACTGCCAGCCAAATTTGCAAATTCTACTACACTGAATACATGGAGTTCAAAAGAAAACACGGAAATACAAGGAATTCCATAAGAATATAAAGGAATATGAATACATAAAAATACAAAAGGAATACTGAGGGAAACCACCTATTTAAAATATTATTTCTTAAAATCTTAACTTTTTAAAAAAAAACGTTCACTGAATAAAAGTAAATGTTGCAACCATGCATGCGCCCTCAAGTTTAGGATTGAACGAGCGCGCCACAGAAAACGAAGAGGATGCAAGAGAGTACGCAACTAGACTACAGAACGAGCTGGACTGGTCCCTTGGAAAACGTGTCGCGTGTCTGTAATTATTCATTATTCAATTTTTATTACTATTTTGCATTAAAATTGATTGTTCATTCCAATTTTGTTTGTGTGTGTAAGGGGCGTTCACGTGAGTGGATTAAACCTTATTTTGTTTTTGAGAGTTCAATTTATGCAAGTTCCTATTATTTTGTTCATTTTTATGTATTTTTTGTTTGTTTATAACATTTTTTTATAACATGTGCATTGTTCATGTATTTAAAAAAAATCGTTTCATACTGTAAACAACACAGATAAAGAAGTAAATTAGAACCTAAGAAATTATGTGCTGTTTTTTTGTGCTGAGATTTTGATTTTGTGGATTTAGAGCATGCATTAGGGCCTTGTTGAATTTACTAACATTTTTCTACCCTGACGAGAGAATATCCTAGCAAATTGAAATAATCAATCTAGAGATATTGGCTCAAAAATAACTATATCTGAGTAGCTTCCCATATAGGACCTCAGTACCTGCTGGGAAACTGGCTAACTAACCAAAAACTCTTCGGTATTGAATATAGGTAGTGTTGATTGAATGTTGTGTGTGTGATTAAAATTTTAGCACAAAGTCCAAGAACGGTACCTAATTTAAACTTTTATTGACTAAAATTATTGAATTAATGACTCACAATTATTATTAAAATGACACAGTATGTTTCGATTTTTAAGGAATTTTAGATCGAGGGTTTCTCTACCGTGCTCTTTCCCCTCGTTAGTTGCAGGATGAGAACGGTACGATTTACTTTAATAATAAAGTATACATTTCACAAATTTTTCGTTTCTTTTACATATCACAATTTCCCTTAAATTTCCCTAATATTTGCTATGTCGGGCGCATGTCCAGTAAGTAAAATTGAGTAAGTTTCCACAACGTAGGTCCCATTTGTTTTTCATTTCATTTTTCAGAAGATTTGTTGTTTAAAAGGTAATAAAAATTCTCATCGTTCAATCTTACTGAGCGAATCCGGGTATGTTATACTACAATACATAGGGTATTCATAAGGATACATTAGATTACATAAGGCTTGAACAGGCCCATTTAAGAGGGGCTTATACCTTATCTCGAAATTTACATGGGCTGTAAAAAAAAATTAGATACAAAAGTTGTTTCTAATGAAATTTATCTTTAATTTTTATGCATTGGTTCTGTTGTCACTCTACTATATACAGGGTGGAAAAATAAAATTCCTTTTACATAGCTCTGAAATGCAAATGCAACAATTATACTGGACATGTGTCTGTGATATACCGTTTCGAACTTATTACCGGATTATCTTCAGAATTTGTCCACCCTGTATATACTAGAATGACAAAAAAGCCAATGCAAAAAAAAGTGTAGATAATATTATTAGAAACAACTTTTGTATTAAATTTTTTTTACAGTCCTTGTAAATTTCGGAATAAGGTATAGGCCCCTCTTAAATGGGCCACCCTGTACACTGGAATACTGCAAAGTAGTACAAGGAATACATAGGAATAAAAAGGAATCCATAAAAATATAAAGTAATAGAAGAATAAATACAAATACATATGAATACATTATGACTACAAGAGAATAAATCGGAGTAGGTACCTACATGAAAATAAATATTTATATAAATTCAACTTTTGACTATTCCTGGTACTTGTTTGGACTAATTTGGGTACCCTACTCATTAAGAAGCAGTACTACTTGGAAGAGAATAAAACATGATAAAAGTAGAGACGGTTGTACAAATCAGCCATGTTGGTAAAGAGAATAAAGTAATTGTTGGCAGACCTCAGAAAAGATGGTGTGCCATGATGGAATCCAGAACATTCGTATGGAAAAAACTGGATAAGGGTGGCTACAGACATCAGAAAAGCAATGGAAATATCCTCCTAAAACAGACCAACATTCAGGAATGAATCATAGTAAGTTGATAATAACAGGGAAGAAGAAGATCTTGTATTAATATAGGTATACCTATAGTATTTACAAACTAAGTTGAAATAAGGTAAAGGTAATTTGCAACTGGTGGCTGACTAATGGCAGTGCATTTCTCATAAGCGTGCCGTAACAAAGGTATATTACACGATTTTGCGTACCAATATACCGCACGGTATCAAAATCGGTCACAAAATCTCAACAAAAAAAAATTGAAATTTCATCCATGTAGTAACAAAGTACCTACCTTAAGATTTAGATTTTGGAAAACTTTGGAAGGTCATAACTTGTCTTCTATCAAAGATATAAAGATGAAATTTTCAGCGATTCCTATTCCAGTAGAGGACTACAATCCCTGGAAATTTCAATTCATTTGGACTTATAGTTCCTGAGATAAAATCGTGTTAAGCAATTTGGGGGGATTTATCAATTTTTCAATTTTTCTGAGTGCCTTTTTTCATAGATTTCGGCTTCAAATCTGATAATAATTAAGTGTATGGAGTTTGGGGGATTCCAAATGACCATTAGAACACAAAATCTCAACAACAAAAAAAATGAAATTTCATCCATTTAGTAAGAAGGTACCTACCTTATGATTTAGATTCTGGAAAACTTTGGAAGGTCATAATTTGTCTTCTATCAAAGATATAAAGATGAAATTTTCAGCGATTCCTATACCAGTAGAGGACTACAATCCCTGAAAATTTCAGCTCATTTGCACTTATAGTTCCTGAGATAAAATCGTGTTAAGCAATTTGGGGTGATTTATCAATTTTTCAATTTTTCTGAGTGCCTTTTTTCATAGATTTCGGCTTCAAATCTGAGAATAATTAAGTGTATGGAGTTTGGGGGATTTCAAATGACCATTAGAACACAAAATCTCAACAACAAAAAAAATTAAATTTCATCCATTTAGTAAGAAGGTACCTACCTTATGATTTAGATTTTAGAAAACTTTGGAAAGTTATAACTTTTTATCTATTGAAGATATAAAGATGAAATTTTCAGCGATTCTTATTCCAATAGAGGACTACAATCTCTGAAAATTTCATCCATTTAGTAAGAAAGTTATTATCGCACGCTCTACCTAGATAGGTACGTACCTTTAATTCCCTACCTACCAGAGATAAATTACCTACACACCTATCACCTAAATTCTACTTGTCCGCTGTCAAAGGTGACAGAAGTTATTTTTTTTATAAATTTTTTAATTTCGGATATTTTGTTACCGCACGCTTGTAGATGAAATACTGTATATAATACGTATGGTAATTAATTAGGTTATTACCGCCCTAAAAGATTGCAAACCTCGCCTCACTGGCTCGGTTTGTAAATTTCTCTCGCGTGCGGTAATAACCTAGTTACCACACTTATTATATGATATACTATTTCTTTGTTTCAACTGACTTTGTAAATACTATACAATGAAAAAAATTTCTTTCTTTCATTCAGTATACCTACTGCATTCACTGTATCAAGCAGAGGTTTATTTCAGTATCGTAAGATGCCATTTGGTCTAACAAATGCCCCTGCAACATGTCAAAGAACCGGCGTCAACACTGTATTGGATTCAGAACTTGAGCCATATGTAATGGTATAATATCTTATTATGACTTCTTTGGTCTTATTGTGTCATTGTAGGTACCTACTTAGAATTTTTTCATAAATCTTGTGTCAGAAATAAACCAATTAGGCCTCAAATAACGGAGATGAGTATTTACTGACAAAATAATTAAAGTGTATCAAATTTTTACCTAAAATCCCAATAAGTAGGATTTTTGTTCCAATTCAGCTTCTTATGCTTCTTGGGATTCTGACAATCGACACCTCTATAGCAAAAGAGCCAAACGTCGAAGCCTCTATCGGCGAAATAGTAAGCGGCTGCAAGTTTTTTGCCCAAAAGCAAAAAGTGTTTCGGTATACCGCCATGGCCTGTAACAAACAAAACCGCGCTCTTGTTTTTCGGTTCGTTTTCCTGTTTTTCAAGTCCATGGGGTATTCTAAATAAGTTGAAAATGTAGCCGTCTTCTGTTGTTACTTGGTGGATTTCAACTGGGTAGCCGTCCTTTTTGATACGTTCTTCCTGAATACAAACATTGGGCAATGAATGATGATTTTCTAGAAAAATCTTACCGTGTTTAGAAGAACGTCAGGATTAATGCCATTGACAAAAAGTAAAGTATTGCAAAGGAAATAAACAAGTAGCAACAAAACCATGGCCTGCCTTAAAAGATGGTCAAATTGGAACTAAAACAGTTTTAATCGTAACAAATAATATCGAATCAACCTTTACCCTTATTGCTAGAAACGTTAAAAACCGTGTAAGTTCTAATTGTTTGTAATGTTTTACAAGAAAATTAAATTAGTTTGAATTGTTCATTTATGTTATGTGGAAAATTAGTCTAATTCAAAATGTTCGAAGTCCCTTTTCAATATAATAGCGAAAATATGCCTTAAAACCCAACAATATCCACATAAAAACTATATCCAAAAGGGGATAAACAAAGTCAACAAACCCCAAACCGGCGAATGCCCCAATTCGTGGCGCCTATATTAGGGGCTGAGAGAGAAGTTTCTGGTTTTTTTTTCTTGAGGGTGGAACAATGATTTTTCGGCATTTCTATGCGTGGATGGACATTGGCGTACCTACAGGAACTTTTTAAAAGGATTTTTGTGAATTTGCAACAGCGAAACTTTTATAAAACAATTATCGTAGAAATTGTTTTTTGTCCGTCTAGTAAATTTCTGATTATAGTAAACCCCTTTCAAGTTTGTTCATTCATTACACGCCTCTGCTATAAGGTATGGGGAAGAAATACATCCTGCTACTAAAAAGTGTGTTCCACCCTCAACACGAGAAAGGGAGAGCCGGTCCCTTTCTGGAGGCCTAATCGACGCCATACAAGAACCCGAAATTCGAGGGGGGGAACGAAACTGGGACACCGCGGTTATTGACTCGCTGGGTCCCTCTTTTCCCTCCTTTTAGGACGGTCACTGAACTAGCTGGTGCGTAATAAAATTCGGGCAAGGCAAGGAAGCGTATATATTACGAAAGTGCGTATGCCAGAGACGGACTCGAACGAGTAAATTTTGTTTGATCACAAATAAGAAATTTGTATTTGGATCAATACTACTTTAAATGATCTGATCCCCAATACGTTGTTCATATAAGGCGATTTCCTCAGCAATCGTAACTTATTGAACAAGAAAATATACACATACCTATCTACGGTAGTGAATTGTGTCAAGGACACCCTGTATCGATTCAAAATTAATGCTGATATTAAATTAATTCGTTCCATTGATCTTATAATTCTCAAACATACTTATTTGGATGATGATGATGATGATGATGATATCTTTTAGCTTTTCTTTTCCACAATTTTAACAATAATTTTCCGAGATTTTAATAGAACAAAAATTCTAATCTAAAAATAGAAATGCATCACAAGTCCTTCTCTGTATTGTAAAGTGTGGCATCCTTCCCCAAATATATTTTTTGGGGCACTCGATGGATAGCGTTGCGTTGCGCCGTCCACGCACTCTGGATTCCCGATTGATTTTGCGTAAGTTGCGTGCAATGTTGCCCGATTTTCCTGTCCACGGATTTCTAAAATACGTTGAGAAATTTCCATAATATCTTCAGGAAGTTTCCAGAAATATAATGTGTATAATTTTCATTTCCATGATGAATGGAAAGAAACTGGATGGGAAATATTTCACATCTCAGCTCAAGCTTAAGACGCATAAAGTTGAAGATTCCAAATCTAAAATATCATGATCACTGAGAAGAAATAGTCCAGACAACCATGTCCATAAAACAGTAAGACAATCTGGTGTTTAAGCGTTTAACCTTCACTGAATTTTATCCCAACCAAGGGACTACAATCCCTGAAAAATTCAGCTCATTTGCACTTATAGTTCCTGAGATAAAATCGTGTTAAGCAATTTGGGGTGATTTATCAACTTTTCAATTTTTCTGAGTGCCTTTTTTCATAGATTTCGGCTTCAAATCTAAGAATAATTTGGTGTATGGAGTTTAGGGGATGTTGATTGATTATTAGGATACAAAATCTCGACAAAAAAAAATTTGAAATTTCATAGTTTTAGTAAGAAGGTACCTACCTTATGATTTAGATTTTCGAAAATTTTGAAAGGTCATAACTTTTGTTCTATTATAGATAGAAAGCTGAAACTTTCACTGAATTTTATCCTTTTCAAAGGACTACAATCCCTGAAAATTTCAGCTCATTTGCACTTATAGTTCCTGAGATAAAATCGTGTTAAGCAATTTGGGGTGATTTATCAACTTTTCAATTTTTCTGAGTGCCTTTTTTCATAGATTTCGGCTTCAAATCTGAGAATAATTTGGTGTATGGAGTATAGGGGATGTTGATTGACCATTAGGATACAAAATCTCGACAAAAAAAAATTTGAAATTTCATCGTTTTAGTAAGAAGGTACCTACCTTATGATTTAGATTTTCGAAAACTTTGAAAGGTCATAACTTTTGTTCTATTATAGATAGAAAGCTGAAACTTTCACTGAATTTTATCCTTTTCAAAGGACCACAATCCCTGAAAATTTCAGCTCATTTGCACTTATAGTTCCTGAGATAAAATCGTGTTAAGCAATTTGGGGTGATTTATCAACTTTTCAATTTTTCTGAGTGCCTTTTTTCATAGATTTCGGCTTCAAATCTGAGAATAATTTGGTGTATGGAGTTTAGGGGATGTTGATTGACCATTAGGATACAAAATCTCGACAAAAAAAAATTTGAAATTTCATCGTTTTAGTAAGAAGGTACCTACCTTATGATTTAGATTTTCGAAAACTTTGGAAGGTCATAACTTTTGTTCTATTATAGATAGAAAGCTGAAACTTTCACTGAATTTTATTGCTTTCAAAGGACTACAATCCCTGAAAATTTCAGCTCATTTGCACTTATAGTTCCTGAGATAAAATTGTGTTAAGCAATTTGGGGTGATTCACCAATTTTTCAATTTTTCTGAGTGCCTTTTTTCATAGATTTCGGCTTCAAATCTGAGAATAATTTGGTGTATGGAGTTTAGGGGATGTTGATTGACCATTAGAATACAAAATCTCGACAAAAAAAAAATTGAAATTTCATCGTTTCAGTAAGAAGGTACCTGAAAAATTGAAATTTCATCGTTTTAGTAAGAAGGTACCTACCTTATGATTTAGATTTTCGAAAACTTTGAAAGGTCATAACTTTTTTTCTATTATAGATAAAAAGCTGAAACTTTCACTGAATTTTATCCCTTTCAAAGGACTACAATCCCTGAATAATTTAATGTATGGAGTTGAGGGGGTCCCAAAGGACCATTAGGACACACAATCTTAAGAAAAAAAAAAACTTGATATTTCATCGTTTTAGTAAGAAGGTACCTTATGATCTAGATTTTGGAAAACTTTGAAAGGTCATAACTTGTTTCCTATTGAAGATAGAAAGCTGAAATTTTCAGCAATTCTTATCCAAGTAGAGGACTACAATCCCTGAAAATTTCAACTCAATTATAATTAGCACTAAAAATCCAAACTCCATATCAACTATTAATCAAATTTCATCATCCAAAGTTGAAGAGGCATGTATTGACACTCAAGATTAGAAAACAGTAAAATTTCTTCACCATTATGGGGTAAATTAGAAATTAGGATCATATGGGCAAGCTTTGTTAATAAGTTCCTTCTTTAAAATTATTATAAGGATGTCACCCTCAACAAAACAAATTTAATTGTTTTTATCCTTAGCATTTCCCTTTATCAAATAACCTAACGTAATTCAATCCCCCATCACTGACTGACCCACTTTTTAAAAATTAACCCACGCTGCGTGTTTACTACACACAATTTTCTGCGACTGCTGCTGGCACCTCCATTCTATTTTCCATTCCCTTTTGCACCAATCGCTCTTCGTTCCCGAATAATTATAAATAAAATATGGGTGAAATTGATTCTCTTGGGAAATGAAAGTGAAGGAATAAGGCTCGGAAAATTAGGATGTGCGTGTATAGCTTAATTAACGCGATGTTGCCATGATATTATTTATTTTCATCATGATCTAAGTTAATTTTATTCCATTGAAAATGATTGCCTCCCCATTCTATAAAGATCAAAAGACTTCATTCCAGATCAATCAATCATTTGGTAGAAAAGTGGAATCAACTACAACTAAAATCAAGTTTCCAAATTTCAATTTTAAAATTATTCAAAAAGAATTTGCAAAAGATCCAGAACTTAGTAGAACATTAACTCTGCCTATTTGGAAAACGTCCATACTTCAAAATATTGATTCAATGCCGTTTTCAACTGAAGTGTATCATACACCCATGCCAAAATCCATGGGGTTTCCAAAGATTGTAGCTGTCATCTCATTTAGTAAAAAAAAATCAATACTTTATTTAGTAAATAATTTTATCACTTATGGTTTCTGAGTTCTTTGAACTTGAAGTTTTTGACAAAATCTCGAGTTTGAAGCCAAATTTCTCAACGCCTATAGAATCAATTAATCTCGTTTTTGTAGGTTTTATAGAGAATTTGATCCCCTTTCAGAAAATCTATGATTCGATGAGAAGTAACAAAACTGTGAGCAAATTTTCAAAGCCCTGTCAAGCTATGGGAAAATTTCTGAGGTCAAAATTGGAATTTTTATCATTTTATTTATTTTTTTTTTCATAAAATTACCCTTTTTGGAATGATGTGGAATCTGTTTTCAATTAATTTCAACATCCTCTCTCGATTGAAAAACTCAAAAATTGAAAAAAATTAAAATTGGAAGGAAATCTATTTTTCAGCCTGTCCGCTACGGATTTTTCATTCAAAAGCTTCAATTGGTAATATCTGGGTAAACATAAGAGGTACTAAATCAAAATTTTCAGAGGTAAATTGCTTCTCATTACTTGGTTTCTGAGTTTTTTGAACTTGAAGTTTTTGAAGAAATCTCAGTAAAATTTCAAGTTTGAAGCCTAATTTCTCAACGCCTATAGAAACAAGTAATTTCGTTATTGTAGGTTTTAGATTTTTTTCAAAAAAATCCATAAGTTGATTCATTCAGAATGGACAAAATATTAAGTCAGCCTAATGTTTTCTTTTTCTTATTTGAAAGCAAATCGTTATTTTTTTTCTTTCGATGATCTTAATGTTGCCCTTTTTTCCCCCAAAGACAATATGAAATACGCAGCACAGCCAACAGGTCGATAAACTAGGGTAATCCGCGTGTCTGTGTGGCACGTGCTTTACGTGGTTGCCAGTTTAGTGCAAGGGGCTGAAAGTAATGATTTATGTCCAGCGA